AAAAAGATACTTAACTACTCATGATGCTGTTTATATTTAACTTCTAAATTATAATTTTCATACACATTGACATACCATTTACTTCTAACTACTTGTAAACTTCTCTTACTGGCTTTTGATTTTGATTGTGTAATTATGTTATAGTGGGCTGACGCTGTCTGGCAGCTAAACCCCAACCCTGCCACCTGCTCACTCCCCACAGTAGGATGGGGGATAGAATCAGGACTGAACCTCTCGCCTACTCCCAGCATACTCACTGGGGTAGTGGAGTGAGAAACTGTGTGAGCTCCGCTAAGCAATAGCTGACTTATTGGTGCATTATCAATAGTGTTTTGATCACAGATCTAGAACACAGCACCATATGGGCTGATCAGATGAAAGTTAGCTCAACCCCAGCCAGATCCAATACATATGGGCTGACTCCAATGGGATGAAGTTCAACAAGGCCAAGTGCCGGGTCCTGCACTTTGGCCACAACAACCCCCTGCAGTGCTACAGGCTGGGGACAGAGTGGTTGGAGAGCAGCCAGGTGGAAAGGGACCTGGGGGTGCTGATTGACAGGAAGCTGAACATGAGCCAGCAGTGTGCCCAGGTGGCCAAGAAGGCCAATGGCATCCTGACCTGCATCAAGAACAGTGTGGCCATGAGGAGCAGGGAAGTGATCCTTCCCCTGTACTCTGCGTTGGTGAGGCCGCACCTTGAGTATTGTGTTCAGTTCTGGGCCCCTCAGTTCAGGAAGGATATTGAGGTGCTGGAGCGGGTCCAGAGAAGAGCAACCAGGCTGGTGAAGGGACTTGAGCACAAGTCCTATGAGGAGAGGCTGAGGGAGCTGGGATTGTTTAGTCTAGAGAAGAGAAGGCTTAGAGGTGACCTCATCACTCTCTTCAACTACCTGAAGGGAAGTTATAGCCAGGTGGGGGTTGGTCTCTTCTCCCAGGCAACCAACAACAGGACAAGGGGACATGGGCTCAAGCTCTGCCAGGGGAAGTTTAGGTTAGATGTTAGGAAGAAATTCTTTACAGAGAGGGTGATCAGGCATTGGAACGGCCTGCCCAGAGAGGTGGTGGATTCACCATCCCTGGAAGTTTTTAAAAAGAGATTGGACATGGCCCTTAGTGCCATGATATAGTAATTAGAGTTGGATCAGGGGTTGGACTTGATGATCTTGGAGGTCTTTTCCAACCCAATCTATTCTATGATTCTATGATATATGCACAGTTCTGATTCACTTGCACACTCAGACCAATGCCTGTTGCACTCTCATACCAACAGTATGAGTTGCAGGATCCTTGAAGTATTGATCTTCTTTCTCTCTTTATCCAGTTGTGCAAATACAGCAGAAAAACAAGTCCTTCACATGATCAGCCAGGACTCTTCCTGAGGGCAACCAACTTTTGTCCTGTTGCTTATCAGTTAGGCACTGCTTGAGAAGCTCTTGCAGACTATTCAAATATTCTTCCTACTGGCCCATTTTAGTGCACAATCTGCTCTTTTTCACTCACCAACTTTTCCTTTTAGTAACTAACCTTTCATAACTAGGGAGTCCCCTTGTTTCATAAACAGTTTTATGATTGTATGATATGATATGAGCTACTTGGTACCCTTGTTCCTATAAAGAATTACCACTCTGCTTTCTATTTAGGTTTCTAAACTAATGCATTTCCTGATACTTTTGATCTGCTGGAAAGGGAATACTATTCTACTTGAGAGGACAGTAGCTAGGAATTTGGGAATTTGTTCTACAGACCAACCTTGTATTTTGCTAATTCTTATTGTGCCTTGATACCAGTTTTGTAATTAGAAATATTAGTATTTTCTATGTCACAGAAGTGTTGAGAGATTATTGTTATTATACTTTAAAGTTTTTGAAATCATACAACTAGATCTATAATCTTAATCATCCAAGTCAATGAGATACATATCACATAACTTTAAAGTTCTTATAATTTTTCTTTTACATATTCAGAAGAGATTTCATTTATAAGAGAGATTGAAGCCCAATATTCTCTTTCATTTTTTCAAATGCATATTATCATTTTACAATTTTTTTGCCAATTCTGAAGAGCATATAGGTTGTTTTTCTGAAGACTAAAAGTATACCTTCCAACAGGCAAAGCCAATCCATGCCTAACACAATAGAAGTCAATATATGAGCTGTACGCCTGATGCTCAGGATGTTGAAAGCCAGCTGGATTGGGTGGAAGAGACCTTAGAAATCATCTATTTCTGATCCTCCCTGCCATGGACAGGGACACCTTCCACTGAGACCAGATTGCTCACAGCCCCATCCAATCTGGCCTAGAACACTTCCAGGGATAGGATATCTACAGCTTCTCTGGGCAACCTATTCCAGTGCCTCATAGTAAAGAATTTCTTTCTTACATCTAATCTAGACCTACTCTCTTTCATTTTAAAGCAATCACCACTTGTCCTATCATTCCATACCCTGTTAAGAGTCTCTCTTCAGCTTTCTTGTAGGTTTTCCCTTAAGTACGGAAAGTCTGCTCTAAGATCTTCTTGGAGCCTTCTATAGGCTGAACAACCCCAGCTCTCAGTGTGTCTTCATAGGAGGAAAGCTCTAGCCCTCAGATAATCTTTGTGGCCTTTGTCTGGCCTCATTACTTCTTGGAAAGTTAAACTTCACCATCAACTCTTGTTTGACAAATAAATATTAAAGAGAAACATTGAGTGACAAAATTCTTTACAAGTCTTCAAAACATATGACAAAAAAATAAAAACAATTGGAACCTATTAAAATCAACAATTTTAGTTCCTGGCCTTTCTTTTTAAGTGTATGGAGATATATATTATGTGGATCAATTCAAATAATACTTTCTCTTCTCTAAGGGACTGAAGACTATGTTCAGGTTGTGTAGTACTTACTCTCTGTAAATGAATTTACAAAGCTGCAAGTGTGAAACATAAGCAGCTACATGGATTTCATGTTTTTCATCACAGAATTCTTATATCCACACTGATGGATATAAATAATAGGCTATGCTTAATCTACATGTTCTGCTGTACCATATAATACTTTTCATCTAATAATACAATTTTACCAAGGCTATCAGTTTTTACTGGTTTCCCCAGATGCTGAATTCACACTAATCAACAGCATACAAATAATTTGCATGCATCCTCCTCATTTTTTGTATGGTGAAAAAGGATCAAATAATACATAATTTTTTAAGGCTACTAGCATAATGTACAAAATCTTTCTAGTATTGTTTAAGTGGCTAAGATGAGCCTGGTTAATCATTTGCATGCTCTAATTATTTGTTGATTGCAGTTTATTGTCTGCCCTGCAGACGTTTTATTTCACAACCCATCCAGACTGAGTATGACAGCTTTACATTCCACCTGGTATTTGATTAAATACTTTTATTTGGGAAATAGTCTTCACAAGCAATGAGAATGGTATGCCTTGTGGCACATACTGTAGGACATCATAGCTACTATCACTGTATTGCTAACAGATCAGATATGTCAGTAGGGACTGAGATTAAAGCTAAATTATAGCCTTCCTTTTGAATAAGTTGAAACCTACAACTATCACAAGAGCTGTGGTTAACATGGGAATCACAAGCATGAAGTGAGAAATATTAAGAATTCACTGGAAAGTAACCCCAACTTACAATTAGCTTATATTTAACTGGGTAGTGGAATTTCTGAAAGAATATTTAAGATAGAAGGATATGTCATTTCTTTGAGAATAAAAAGTAGCATGCCTTCTAATTAAATAGATTTTATGTCTGATAAATTGTATTTTCCAGCCCATTGCCTGTTTATCCTTTTCCTTTTTTTTCTTTATATTCAGATAGCATTGTTTTATTTCATTTCATAGAAGGTACCTATTCTTAGAACAACTTCCAGTTGAGTACTTAGTAAACATAAGAAGCAATTATCCTATATTTGAAGTGAAGCTGAAGGGAACAATGACAGACATGGATCATTTTACTGGAGTGTTAAATGAGGATAGAATCATAGAATCGTTTAGTTTGGAAAAGACTAAGATTATTGAGTCCAACTGTTAATCTGTACTGCCAAACCCACCACTAAACCATGCCCCTACACATCTTTTAAATACCTCCAGGGATGGTGATTCAACCACTTCCCTGGGTAGCCTGTCCCAAAGATTAACAACCCTTTCTGTGAAGAAATATTTCCTGAGAAAACATTTTGATGAAAAACAGGTGTCACAACCTGTGTACTGAAATCCTGTCTTCACAAGTTTTTCCTTAGATGACTATATTTCAAGTATTATATGTTGTAGACTTTTAATTTCCATTCAGTGTAAGTGAATTGACTGTCAGGCAGCCTTGACTTCTCTTCATCATTCAGGAATTAACGATGGCTTCTCTCACAGACGGGGTATGAGATGATCGTGTGATTGCCTAGTACAACAGATTTCTAGGCGTAACAAAATGAATGTGCCCCTCCTATTATGCCTTGCCTATAGCAGAATTACAGGAAAACAACCTCTTGTAAGGTGTGTGCATTAAGTGTGAGGGTTCACCCCCTCACACTTTCTGAAGCAGCCATCATTACCTCCAGTTTTTCATCTCCTTGGCAGAAGTGAGAGCAGTAGTCCTGGTTTACAGGCACTCTGTTTCTCAAACTACTAATCTCAATCTTCATATCCATTGTCAGGAGTGGCCAGACCTCTGCCTTTGGATCCCTTTTTGACAAGGTCAAATTTTGCTTTCGCTAGTTGTAATTCTAAGTTGTATTTTCTGTTATTAATTTATGTAAAATAAGTGAAATATGCAAAGGTTGTGATTATTTAAATAAGTAAGGATTAAAATGAAGTGTTTTTTCCATCCATGGCTTCTTTTTCAAGTACTTTACAATGGGCTCTGCTCTTGAATAAAGTAACAGAGTCAGACAAAGAAAAGAAAGATAAAAATAAGGCAGAGAAAACAGAATAATTTAGGGTGAGGTATACCTACATTTATTTACTGTTTATCTTATTCTAAAGCATTTTAATGTTTTCTGTGTAGAATCTTCCGTGCCAACCCAGCCAGAAATGGTCGTGTACGCTGGCTGTGTACCACTTCATGTGTTTGAAGAGGATTTTTTTTCATTAAAACAGATGGTAAGATTCTGTGCTATAGGACAAGAAAACATTCCTTATTTCATTATCAGAGTGTTCTATTTTGTGTCAACTATGTTGTAACAAAAAGAATACAATTAGCACAGTGAAACAGTTACTAGGTGATTACTATCAATTAAATTTATATTTCAGTACTTCTGTATTCTAAACATGTACTTTCCTGCCAAAATCTGCTCATTTTTTACTGTTTTCCTTCCCTTTCCTCTGGATCCCAGAAGCTCAAGTCTCCTGGGAGAGACTAGTTGTGGACTAGAAAATGCATCATGATGAGATACTTCTGAATGGAAAGTCTAGTTATTTTAAGGGCTACTTGAAAAGCATGAATTTTAATTTATTTTTAAGACTCCAAAAATAATGGCTTCTCTGATATATGTTTTCTAATACGTTGTTTGTTGTTCTATGAGAAATATCATGTTTATTTCAATTTCTATCATTAGTGTTGTAGCTGGTGAAAGGAACTGGAGAAAATGTAGCACTTAGTGCAGCTGGGTTAAAAACAGTGCTTAAATTTCTACTTAGTCACTCATGCTCCTCAGAAGGCTACTTATAATGCCAGAGCAGGGTTTCTTGAGTGGATTATTGATTAAGTTTCCTTTTTTTTTTCACATTTAAATCATATTTATCATAATTAGATCATTAAAATTTGAGCTGCCATCTTAGGAAACTGATAGGCTTCACTGAATAAAGAAATTTCCAGAAATGGTTTGCATGTATTCTGCTTTACTGCTCTTAATTCTTGAACTATTTTCTTTTTAAAAATTGTGCAATGTGTTTTATGCTATTTTCAAGATTAGCTTGTTACCTGCGATTTTATTTTAATTTATTTTAGGGTCTCAGTCAATACTGTCTCTTTGCTAAGAATAAGTAATACTAGTCATCAAAAAGCAAAGTGGAAATGGTGACATAGGATTATATGTTTCCTAACACCTTAAGTATCATCTTGACCACAGTCTGTTGGGATATAGAGATTCCTGGAAAAGGAGCATGGCAGACCAAATAGCACGAGGCAGATGCATTTATATATCTAAACAAGTATTTTAGTAAAGACTGATAAAAAATGGAATTTGTCAGAAATTAAATATAGAAAGTAGTTGATTTCTTATGAGTTAAAAAAAAGCCCATTTCCAAGTTTTATTTGGGAGTGGAGACTTACTACACTGATAGAAATACAGTTGGAAGAATGGATTCACTGGGATAAGAGTTGCTCCCTACATTTAGAAAAAATTTTGTCATTGACTGCAGCTGTGCTAGAACTTCCTGCCACAATTTTTGCAGTATCCCTTTTAGCTTTGCTTTCTGGTGTGGATGTCCTTGGATCGTTGTGGTTTGAATTTGTTTAAATTTGCTCAAATAAAATGAAAAAAATTCAATGATTGAGTCATACAAGTCTGTCATGTACTCAGGAGCTAACAAGTTCTCTTTTATGGCTCCTAATTGGTCTTCTTCAAAATCCTTTCTAGTCTTGGATATTTTAACTGGCATTTTTAGTTTCATTCCCTACTCTTCAAATAACTGACAACCACAACTACATTCTTCTCTGTAGAGTTCATAAATATAGAACCTCAGGAACATTTGACAACAAGTAGAAACAGGGACTTGATGAGCATATTAAAGAAATAAGTTACTGGTGATTTATTTAGTGTGTAAAGGAAGGTGTGTTTTTAAAATAAAAACGATGTACAAATCTTGTAAGAGAACTTTCAGTTTTGACAAACCTTAAGTCCTGGACCATTATTATTTTAATGGGAAGAGCACCACTCCATGTCCACATTTAGAACTGCTCTTAAGTGTGTTACTAGGGGCTTTGGTATACAGGTCAACTGGAGTGTCTTTAATGTTTTATAAATGACCCAGCAGATACAAAACTTGACTTTAATTATGTTTTAGTTCAAAGCAGTATTACATTATGGAGATTTCACAAGTTATCTAAAGGACCAATTGATTTTAGAATTCTGCCACTTCATAAATTCAGCTTGAAGTAAGGACTTTTTCCCTCAGAGAAAGTATTTTTGAATATGTTTATTTAAAGGAACATGTTGTCCCCATTGCTTTTTTACATATTCATTCTCTTCATTTGTATGTTTCCTGTAGCAACTGAAAAATCTATTATGAAAAGTAAAATACATGTAAGCACTTCCAAGTATACTTTTTCTGCTGAATATCAAATTCTAATTAAAATGTGTTTGGATAGTCTGTTCAGGTAACTATTTTTGTTTCATTTGTTATTCAAGGTGTTGGATGCTTTTGTGTGCATACTGCTCTTTTTTGTTAGGCAGATATGGTGAGAAAGGAGATCTGGCCCCAGCCAGATTATCTTTTCATGTTTCATAGTCTGATTCTTCAGAGAAGATGAGGCAATATGGGCTTTCCCACATACACAGCCATCCTGTCCTCATCACTAGAACTAGATCCTGTCCTCTGGAAGCACCACCACAAGAACCACCAGTTCCAGGTTGGAAGATTTTCCGTCAGAAGAAGGAAGTTGTTTTGACATCTGAACCCAAAGGTTTGTCTACTAAAGCCTCCAAAATAAATTTGTAATTACATTTTAATTACTATAAGCATTTTCAGGGCCATACTTATCATCTATTAGCTTAATTTCAACTGAACTTTAATCTTTTTTTTATTTAGGTTTTGCCAATTTTGTATTACCTCCTCTTAGCAATATTTCTTAAATGCTTTGAGAAATGTCCTAATTTATGTTGAAAACAGCACTCTAGTGAAGAAAATTAAGAGAGTGTTATCAAAGCAACACAGAAGCTCTCTGATGCAGAGCCAGGAAAGGTTCTGAACACCTTTTAAAAATTTAAAGTACATGACTAGTACTGCTGCATCATTTTTTAGGGTAAATTTTTTTGCTAGGGTTTGTCTATACTGCATAATGAAATAAATGCATGATATACAATAGCTTGAATATGAAAGTGTTACAGGCATGCTAGTAAAGTGTACTGGGATAAAGCCCAGGAAATTGGCAAAGGCAAAAATGCTGCCCTAGTTGTTCTGAGCTACCCTGGCTAACCTTACATATAGGTTAGGTGCACTTTTTAATACTTTGCAGGCTGAAGATTAGAGTGTTAAACATTTTTTTGTTCATGATACATCACCTAGAGTCACCCTTGGTTCTTCTGTTCCATTCAAGTGCATATGATGATACTTGGAGAACTATTTAGGTGTGACAAATCCTCACTGGACAAATAATTATGTCATATATAACATAATGATAATAATATTTCTTATATATTTAAGAAGTTACTTTTTTCCAGAGCCTGAAGTAAAAGCACCTGAAGAACATGTTGAAATTGCTAGCCTATTTTTGAATTACAAATTGAATTTTATCAGAATACCAACAGACACGTAAGTATTAAATGCAGTTACAGCATTAGCATTATATCATTAGTCCATTTCACTGTGAAAGTGCAATTGGCTGATCTTTACTTGTGTCATAGGTTAAAACTACTCAGATCATGTCTGAAACACATCAGGACAGAGCACTCTATTGCTGTCACGTAATTAAGCAGCTGTCAGTGAACTGTACATTTAGGATCAGTATCAGCATGAATTACTAAACTAGATGGTTACAAAACATTAATAAACACTTGCACACTTCAGAATACCTTTCTGTAGCTAATCCCAAGAATTTCTAATCCGGCATGTGGAGGCATACATATGAAATTATGCGCACCCTCCCGGCACTGAGGGTTACAAGCACACCTTCTGCTTTGAGAGTGCAGCACACACCTCCTTTTGGAGATGCAAGTTGGAGTGCTCTAAGCTTTAACTGCTGCTCCCTACAATCTGCTGATGTACACACAGGTGAGAAAGATCCAGGAGGTGGATATGCACACACTGGAGAGGTGGGTCCTAACTTGTATGGACAATTCCCTAGGCAGATGCACACCTCTGAGGGCTTCTGGCATTGAAGAACAGGGAGCACTGTCAGGCAAAGTACACTTTGCAAGATTCTCTAATCAGTGGGCCCAGAGATGTAGAATATTCAGTAGATCACTTCTACCAGAAATAGAAATATTCTTTGATGTGTTCCAAATTTTTCCTCCAACTGCTGATCTTCTGTAATTCTTGAACATAACAAGGAAATAATTGACCGGCCAGTGAGTACCTTCATGGGCATTACATGTTTGGCATAGAACAGTTAATGTTTATGAACAAAAGAGACTGTTCTCTGTTCATTATAGTTGTTAGCACAAGCCTGAGAGTGAAGGTGAAGAAGCTCATGCGCAAAACACAACTTTGTATAAATGCCTTGTGTTGAAAACTGCTTCAAAGTCCTATAAGCCCTTGAAAACCAGAGTCTTTCTACACTGTCTTAAAGCAGTTTCAGAAATTGGTGTATACATGGTTTCTAGTCAATATTCAATATTCAACATAATACTTGCTCCCTGAGGAGAAAAAAAAGATTGCCATTAAGTGTATCAGGGCCTTTTTTTCCCTATAACCCACTACACAGTACATTTCTGTCAGGCTTCAGCTTATGATGGGATCATTCAGTAGACAAGTTCTAGAATTGTTAATCCTATCTCATTTATTCTGACTGAACTCCTGTCATGAAGCAATTGAATGAGTGAATGGGGTAACATGAGACTGGTGACTTGTCACTAGTGAGGTTCCACAGGGAACCTGTGGCCCTGTTCTCTTCAGCGTCTTCATAAATGACTTGGACGCGGGACTGCAAGGGATACTAAGCGAGTCTGCAGAAAACACAAAACCTGAAGGAGCTGTTGTCTCCCTCAAAGGCAGTCTACAACTTTCTTGAGAGGGAAAGAGCAGGGGCAGGCACTGATCTTTTCTCTGTGGTGACCAGTGATGGGACCTGAGGGAATGGCCTGAAGTTGTGTCAGGGAAGGTTTAGGTTGGATATTAGAAAAAAGTTCTTCACCCAGAGGGTGGTTGGGCACTGGAGCAGGCTCCCCAGGGAAGCGGCCCCAGCACCAAGTCTGACAAGCACATAGTATGACTCTTGGGGATGGTCCTTTGTAGGGCTAAAATTTGGACTCATTGATCCTTGTGGGTCCCTTCAAACTAGCATATTCTGTGATTCTATATCATTTACCAAGTCTACACAAAAAGGTTTATGTCATTTTGGAGGATATTTCTTCAGAATGAGTCCAAGAACAGGTTGTAAAATGTTGGAGATGTGTATATTTTTTTAGGGTGTGTACACCTTTTATTAAGTACATCTCTATGCAAACTGACTAAATTATGTATGTCAGAGGTTCTGCATTTTGGTCATCATAATTGGAGAGATTGATAATAAACCAGTTGGATTTTTTAAATTCATTTTGAACAGCAGAATTTGTCCACAGAAGAAGTGGTCTTGGAATATTCTGGGAATTTAATTGTTTTGCTGATACAGTTGCATTTTATCGGTTAAAAGTACTTAGATTACTTACTGTTTGTTTTCAAACAATAGGAGTAGAACTACATAATAATGCTCTAAGCAATATCCATTAATAAACTATCAAAAGAATGAGAGATCAATAATTACCATGTTGAAGTCTTTGCATGTTAACATATTTTATATTTTTTTTCATAATTGATAGATTGCTTCATGGTCAAATTACCCCATTTTGCAAATTTTATTTAATCACAGTTTATTTAATGTCCTAAGTTTCTATGACAATCAGCTAATGTAATCTTTTGTGCTTTAATTAACAAGTAGTAGCCAAAAATATAAAGCAGGTATTAGCATTTCATTAAAGTAATATAGCTGTCCAAATAAGATAAGGGACTTAGATACACAATTGGGACTGAAAGTTTTTAATCTCTTCCTTTTATTCTAATATAATATTTTGGAACACTCAAAGGCAAGATAATTGTGACTGTTACTGCAAAAAACTTGATATTTCATTATCTCAGTCCTTAAGAAGAGGGCTAGATAACACATGCTTATATTTCAATTTTTTATTTATTGCTATAATCACACAGTTACATATTTAAGTATAATTGGTGTGTATGCAACATTGTTTTGGTCTTACTCTCCTAGTTCCATTTACAAATAAAGACTTATTTATATTTCCATCAGTTTTTATTTCTACCTTCAGTGAAGTCGGCAACAGACGTTTCTTTTACTCCAACCAGAATAGGGCTGCACAGGTTTCCTTGGTTATCATGTGTGTCAGCTGTCTGGTAGCTATGGAGACCCAATTTGAGGGAAAAGACAAAAAGTATTGTGAAACAAAACATTTTTTTCTATTTTTTTGCCAAATCTCCATTCAGGTAATAGTTTTTTCTTGTCTAGAGGCCACTGTAATTTATTCAGTTCTGGTGTTATCATCTTGTTTTCAACAGCTGACTTGGGTTTTGCTTTTATGAGGGTTAGTTAAAAGATCTTTCTAGCCAAATATGTGTGTAGTGCCAAGCCAGTAATGACAAGGAACATATGAATATATAGATTCTGTGCTGCCCTATGAAGCTCTCAAAATAAGGAAGATACAAACTATTTTGACAGAGTCCATTAAGAATAGTAGTTATGAAAAGTGTAGTCTAAAAGAAAATTTATAGATTCAAGTATCAGAGTTTTCTTTTATTATTTAGCCACTTTCCACGGTCTACCATCACAAAAGGATTTCATTTTGTATCCCGTCTCACTTCTGTTACTGAAAGTGATGAAAATGAAAGTGACAATAATGTGGATATGAATCAAAATGCAGAAGATAATTCTCAGGTAATAATATTCCTATTTTTTTTTTACTTGACCTAGTTTTATATTCTAAAGGATAGTAAAAGGCAAAATAGAAAATACTTAATACTTAAATATAGGTTTTAAAAGGCATTTCAGTAAGCTTTTTTTTTGTTGCTATTTAAGTAACTTCCTTACCCTTTCTATTTTATAATTATATTGATGTGTATTGTATGGGAAATCTTTCTTAATTCTTTTTGCTTTAACCTTTTTTATGATTTATTCCTCATATTCTAAAAGTTTTGCTGCTAACACTATCAAATATTTTGATGGGAGTATCTTAAAAAAATAGAAGTCTTTGTAAATAAATGTTAGTTTATGGATAAATGTTATGATTAATTTATTTCAGCTACAGTGAAAGATGTACCTAGGCATGTGACTAGAAAAATGTAAGCTTCATAAACACATGCCTTAAAATGACATCCTTATTTGGGTCTTAGTGGAAAGACTTCTTGCTTCATCTAGGAAAAGGCTTCAAAGCTCAGGTTGTCTGCCCTTACATTTCAGAAGCTCTGCCTTCTAAAGGAATCCTCAGCCATGATTTAGACCCTCAGGCTTGCTGAGCAACTCTGTGAGAGAATGACATCTCTCTAAACAGGTTCACTAGATGAAGCACTGACCACAGGTTTGCTCAAAATACCCAAGTAAATGCTAGTTACTAGGTAGAAGTCTCCACTGTAATTTTCCAAGATAGATAAGATGAATCTTACCTGAGTTCAATAAAACATTACTAGGATGACTTCGGGAAGTCATCCTTTTGGAAAAACTTTTGGAAATGGTAATTACTAGGATGTTTTTGTTGTTGTTTCTGGTTTTGGTTTTAAATTGGAAAGTATTTGTTCTACTAAGTTCTTTTAGATAGACCTGTAACAAAATACACCCTCTAATGTTTGAATCTTACACACATAACAGAGAAAAAAGTATATTTTCAAAGAGTCTCTGGACAATACACTATTTCATGAAAAATATTTCGTATGGGGAAATAATTGCCAACATAGAGAAGTAGAGACTTAAATATTCAAAAAAACCCAGAGTTCCACTGAAGTTATAACACATCATGGCAGTACCAGCATGTCTTCAGTTTCTCGCGTCCTGCAGCAAACACTGCTGAGAAAAGCATTTGATAGCATTTCTCTTTTTGACTTTAAGAAAATTCAGGAAAAAAGCAGTCTAGGCAACATGTAAGTGCTTTCAGTGATGTTATACTCAAAATCTGTATCTGACTCAATAATGCAATTATATTTTGGGGAAGATGATGTTTCAATTTGTAAATGTTTGCTGCAGTTCTTCCGTCTATATTTATTTGCCCTCCCAAGTAAAGACTGAATAGTTTTTCCATGTATGTTAAATTCAATGTCAAAATTACATATTGAATATATAATATACAATATATTCAATATCATTACAATATGACAGTATAGAAAATAGCCTATACAGTATATTCATCCACGGTTGCATGTAAAGGAAAAACAGCAACGAAGTCGTTATCCATGCAGTCCTGCAGTAAGGATGACCTAATTGCTTTAAAACCTCTACTGCCATTTTCTGGGACAAACTAATAAATATACTTGGGGTTAACATTTGTGGTATCTGGTTGATGTATAGGAAATGTTTGTAGGGTTACAAAATATGTTTGAAGACCAAAGATATACTATTAAGGATAGTATGTCATGAGGTACCTTCATGAATAAGCAAACCAAAATTTAGTTTGGTAAATTTTGAAATAAATGGGAAATAATTTTTTATGTAACTTTCAGAGTGCCTGTTTGCATGTTTCCTCTGCAGGCTACACTCTTACACTATTTTTATATTTCAGATCCATATCTATATTATGTGTCTAGAAAATGTACATGTGTGGATATTGCTACTGGATATTAATGATTTTAAAATAAGGCAGTTCTGTAGTGAAGGGGAATACTTTACAATAGAATATATATTTAGCTATTCAGTATTTTGTGTACATTTTATATAAACAATAGCTTAATTAGTACCTAAATAGTACTTCACCTTTAAAAGTCTTTTTAATATTGGCAACTTACAAAAATCATTACAATAGCAGAAAGGTAAAAAGGAGCTGTAAGTAGCATCTTATATAATAATTATTGCTTTCATTACTTCAGTCTCGAGGTATAAAAATATAGATTTGCTTAGTTACGAATTAATAGACACTTATGTGCTGGAAGCATAAAAGCAGTTTTGAACATCACTTAAATTTTCTCCCCTAGTGCAAGAGGGTGTAGAAGGCTGATCTGTTATGGTGGGACATGCAGTCAAGGTGAGACAAGGACAAATAAAAGAATACGAGAAAGAGAGACATTGATAAAACTGGAATGGTTGGAAGAAGACATGAATGTGATGTAGGCTGAGGGCAATCTGATTCAAACATGAAATGTAAGAAGTCATCAGCAGCTAATTGACTTGAACTTTATTTTCCCTCAGTTTAAATCTCAGCTGAAAAAGGCTATGCCTATTACTAGCTCAAGTATGCAAGTAGAACTTCATTTGTACAGATTGGAAAAGAAAATAGTTTTTAACTTGCAGAGCAATCTTCTTTATTTCACATACTAAATTTTTTCAGCAACAAAATTATGTAGATACTTCCAGGAGGTTCATAATGGGAGGGCTTTCTTTTTGTAGTTATAAAACTTGAAATGACAATATGCATGTCTACTTTAAAAAAAAAAAAAAGTCAATTAGTGATTAAAAAAGCAAACACTGAAAGAGGAACTTTGATATCCCCAACTCACTAGATTATTGCTAATTTTTAGAATTTTTTATTGTAGTATACTGAGTGTGAATGAATTTGTCTCCATTTTAAACTGTGTGATTGGTTTTCAGGAAACATCTGCTTTAAAACCTTTGATACAGATTTGGTAAATGCAGCAGTTTTAAGCTTTAAACTGACTGAAATTCAGTCAGCTGCTGTGCCAGATGCTCAGCAAGTTTAGATTGGCATATTTCAATTCATTCCAATGTAAACCGTGTGAAGTAACATAACTGAATAACTGATTCGCTGTTCTTAAGGTCTGTTGTCACAGAAACAGAGACTAGGGATAAATGAAAGATGAAATTTTAGAACCTGGATGTACCCCCTTTGAAGAATATAAAGTTGAAAGACATGCCATTATCCTTCATGTCCCTGAAGTACTCATGCCAAAAAATTGAAATACTTTATTATTGATTTTTACAATCTTTTTTTTTTTTTTTTCACCATGAATTTCCCATTAACTCTGATTTTACAGCTTTTTCTGAAAGCTTTTTGGATTTGCATTCAGAAAAAAAATCTTTGAAAATACCTGTGTTTGGTAATTAAATTGATCTTAAATCACTGTTATTAAGAAAATACATTTTGTTAATTTTTTGTTTAAAAACTCCTAACATAAGGCCAAATTGTTTAATGGAGAGGCTCTCTATTATTCTTGCTCAATACAAAGCTAAGTAATTTGTATGTGTAGAATGCATTGAAATACATGTAGAAGTGTTTTGTAGCTGGAAAAAAGCAAAATTGTCATCATATGTAAATTACACAGTGTCTTGCAGTTTTATGCAATAGTAATTTTGTCAAATGTTTCTGAGAAATAGATTATCTTGGAGAAGTGTTTCCTTGTAAATCTGTCATTCAAAAGCCTACTTGAATATTCTTCATTGTGATGAATTCTTCAATAGAAGTTATCTCCAGTTCCATTGAGAAGAAAACTCTATGTGTTCTGTTTGAGGAAATGTTGAGCAGTAACTAAGCCAGAAAATCTAATCCAAATATGCTTATCATCAGTATGTGCAATGGCTACTAGATATTTTGATAGACTGACCGAGTTGCTTTATTCATATATCTTATGCAAAACAGTTTGATTTATCTTTGTGGCTTCTGCAGTGTCAAGGTCCCTGGCAATGCTAACTTCTAGAGCAAAAGTGTTAAAGTCTTCACTCTCTCCTAGTGACATAAAAATACAATACACTTGTTCTTTTATGTTCACGTTTACCTCATTTTTCTTACTTCAGTCCATCCTTTTATATATTCAAACTCAGTCTTACCTTTTGCTTTACAAATGATACCAGTCTATTTGGTTTGCGTGCTCTGTTGTGTGCTCTCCATAAACATTACAGAATATTGTGTCATAATAAGCTTTTTCTTCATCTCATTCTAATCCTTCTTGTGATATATTTCATAGGCCCAGTGAATAGGTATTGAGTCAAGAGGAGTGCTAGGTAGAAAATAAAAAAAACTATTTTCTTTACAAATTTTACAGTTTTGAAAATTACTTCAGCCTGTATATTATTTTCAGGGAAAAAAGTGTACATGAGATGTGAGGCATGTGAATTAGAAGAGGGACTTGAGAAGAGTGACACAAATTTAGACATTTGTGGTACAGAGAGACTTTTTGACGGACCCGCAATTATCTACTTGCATATACATACTGGACAGGAGGCTGAAAAATAAAACAAATCTTTGAAAGTAATAAGATAGCTATAAACTTATGGATTACCATTATTTTTACAATTATTCATTAGTGATTATAAAACATAGTAGATGATAACTTAGATTTTTAAGTTAACTGTGGAATTTTTCTCACAATTTGCTTTCCGATTTCCCATTTACCGAAGAAGAGCAATAAGTAATTTTCCCAGAATCTGTGTGCATCCTTCTATATTTCACAGCTCAGTCCAAGTATTTTTAAATTTCTTTCTTTATCCAATACTGTGGCACCAAATCTGACCTTTCAGGCAATGTGTGTTCATAAAGGAGGAAATACCTTTATTTTCTCTTTCTGTGCCTATGTCTTAGACACTGTAGATGAGGCAATAGTACAACAGAATGAGAACTTCCTTGGCACTCCGGTTGTCTCCAAATCAGTGAGGTTTAGGTAGACGAACACATCCTGTATCATTAGAAAAGCAGACAGCTTTTTGACTATGTTATGTTTGTGCTCCAAAATCTGACTAAATGAGCCTAAAGGAGTCTCTACACAGCTGTGGTTAGATTGCTTTCACAACTCAGATTGGCTGAAGTTACATTACCAAACATTCAGATTTTCCAGAGTTCATTTTCCTTCTTTACTGGAAGTTCTGTTGACACAGTTTTTGGGGTTTTTCTGCATCTCTTCAGACTTTCCTGCTGCCAACTGTTAATACCAACAAAGTAGCTCTATATTAAGCTACCACGTGTCCATATTAGAAGAATGGATCATGTGTACTGTCCATGTTGGGCAGAAAGTGCTAAACTTGTGCCAACATTGCAGTCTCCAAGGCTTATACAGTAGATCTCATATTTTTTTTATACTTTGAGCGTGCCCAGGATTTCTGAGAAGAAACATGATAAATTGTACAGCTGACATGTATCTGTTTGGTAAATCCGGTGACTCCTACAGGAAATTTGGCAATATTGGAATCTTTCTCAAGTTGTAGGCTTGCATGCAGAAATATGACAGCTCTATGCCTGTGTACTTCCAAAGTCACAGTTCAAAGGGAAGAGATAGTCCATGTGTTACTTGAGATTTTTCAGATTCATATGCTGAGGCATGACTGTTGATATAACATGACAAGTGATCACAGCTTGACTTGTTTTGAACAGTTGTGTGTGCAGATTTCTGAAAACAGGAGCTGAAGTACATGGGCATTTGTAAGATTCTACAGTGTCCTTTTCATCTCTAGAAAAACAAGAAATTAATCTAAAAACAAACATGTAAAATATAACATATTTAAATTACTAAATTCTTAATCCAACTGGTAACAATTTCAACAATGTCTGTATTTTTCTCTTCGTTGCTGTTTGTATTAGATCTGTCCCCAGCTTTGACTCATGAACATTCTTTAAAAAATGCATTACAGATTTGGAATAGAATTTCTGATTCGTGCTGTACAAAGATGGGACTTCCAAATTCTCCTAATAAACAATATTGCAGTTAAATTATATGTATTAAATTATTTGGTACTTCCTATTTTGGGAGAGAGACTCTTAAATTTGTAATTTATTCCCTCACATCTTTTCTTTGTTTAATTCAGAGATTATGAAACACCTAAAATTTTGACAGAGGTGAGACTCCTTAGCCTGTTCTAGGCCTATGGAGATTCTAAAATGCTGCACAAAGAATTTTACTGAAGCTAGAAATCAAACTAGAAAGCCATAATATTTTCCTCTAAGGAAGCATTCACAGGTCTAATATGCAATATTAGATATGAAGGGTAGTCTGTTATAGGAGGGTTGAGGCAGACCTGGATTTACAGCACAATGACCTTATACAAGATTTAGGTAAGAGATTTAGGTTGTTGTGACCTGCCATCAGTCTAACTCAGACTCTCTATGTCAGTCTGCCCCTCAAAATGTATTTTTAGATTGTATTGAGAAAGAATAAAAGTAGCTCCAAGTCATCATAGCTCCCACAGCTCCTCTTTGAAATGCAGAATAGAAAATCACTCTGTGTCCAGCTGTTGGCCTGCTAAATGCTACCAGTTTCAGCACTAGCACCTTAGACACATGTAAAAGACGTGGGCAAAAGGGTGACAAATCTAGTTATAGGGAGAAGTGGGATGAAAAGAAGCTTGCAAATTTGTTTGCAATAGCCTTTTTAGGCTTTAATATTTGACTTCGCAAAGGCAAAGCTAGTCCGGCTAACCCATTAATAGTACTACGTTCAAATAGAAAATAAACTGGAAACTGTGGAATCTCTTTCTCCTGCTTTACCTCATTAGAAAAAAAAAAGGTGGAAGTGAGTCTTTTTCAGTGTATGTCATATTGCAGGCAAGAGGGCAGTTGGAATGATGATTAGGCACATATTTTTAAATCAAAGATGGTAATCTCTCAAATATTTGCAAAATTTAATGAGTGGACTTTCTGAAAAGCTGGCTAACTTGATTTCAGCTCTAAGTGTAAGCAGCTATTGCTTTCATATTAGTTCAGCAGCTTTAGCTTGGAGGGGGAATTGATAAAGTTGTTTGCCAAAAACATTAAAAAAGAGCAGGACGCTTTTTATTTATACAGTGACAGGAAACAAAAGATGCTGTTGTAATCAAGCATACTGTTGCTAACGACAGTTGTGTATTGTCAATTGCACAGCAAGGAATGCTTGTTGGAAAAGGAGCCCTCCATATACATTTCAGGAATGGAAATTCACAAAAACCCAGAATTGGTCGCATAATAGGATAACTAGTTTTTAGAAGAGAGCTTATTTTATTGTAAAACCCCAGTAATATCAAAGAACATTGTTTTAATAGTTAAGTGGTAGCATATGAAACAACTTTTATTTCTGACTCCAGATCACATGTACTTCTCTAGAAAAACATCAGCCTGTCTAGTGGTGATATGTAGGTAAGTATTATGGTGAAATTTACCAGTTTTATTTTTCTTTAAAAAACTCAACCCAAACCATAATGATAACTTAGTAGTTTGTTCCTCTGTTTCTGGAAGGACTACCAAAAAACTGAGTATTTTCTTTAACAAAATACTGCAAGATTATAATCACCTTTGTTACTTTTTTCTTTTTTTTTTCTTCTTTTATTGTTGCTGTTGTTTTGTTTTGTTTTCACCATATAGGAGAACCAGCAAAATGCAGAGATACCCAGTAAAGGTACGTGTGTGAAATTTATAGTCAGACTTCTGCCATTCCCACAGCGTTTTGCCTCAGTGTTAATCCTCTTGTACATATATCAGCAGTCTTACTTATTTATGGGTGTTGGCATTCTGGGAAAAGATTTCAAAGAACTGGTATTAGCATGTATAATTATGTAGAGTAGAATCTTCAGTTTGATATTTTTTTTTAAAAATCCCTAATTTACAAGAATATTTTGGGATAAAACCACTCTCCAGTAAAATAAGGTGTATTTTGTACACTGAGCTCTTTTCTTAATCACTCTGAGTTATATTTCTTCTTTTTTTCCTGAAAAATATGTAAAAAACCCAACAAATTTTATTGTAATAAACGTTTCCTTTGAAATGTGTTTGAGATTAGTATTGGAAGGGAGTTCAAAATTCAAAATGAATACCTCTTTGTATAAGTGAATGTCTGAAAGAACTTGTCAGGAGAAGTTTAAAAATAAGAGCCTTCTTTTTAAAAGTAGTGATCAGATTTTTTGGGTGCATGAATTTCTCGGGTCCTAAAACTGACTGCTAGGAAATACCTTTCCTTTTACTAGAGTTCTGAAAGTGAATCTTAGAGCAGAAGATGACATGAAATATGTGAAGAGAATTCATGCATCATTTACACCATGATTCATACACGTGACATGCATTTTGATTTTGGTTTTCAACTATTCAGTCCACATAGAAACCTATGCAGTGCCTTTTTTTCTTTTTAAGCATTTTTAAAGATTGACTGTCATGGGCAGAGAAGGCTTAAGTGCCATTTTTTAGTTTTACTTTTTTCTCTGTAAAATGTCCATGATCCCATCTTCCAGTAATGGAGATATACAATTATTATTCTCTCAGGTGAAGTATGTGCACAGCTTCGTGAGTTCTACAGTAACTGAGCCCAGTAATTTCACAAATTTAGATATTTTCATAGATTATAACATTATCTTTATTCTGGAAAAATGTGCAACCATCAACCATCTCTGGTAATTCCCAAATAGGGTAATGCAAGATAAGGTTATAATGGGGAGAGGGAACAAATACTTGGATCGTACTGCAAGTATAATAAAGAGAGTTTATTTATGATATTTAAATATCTTGAAGCAAATATAAATCATACTTCTTCCAAACCTATACTAAAAAATTGGTTTCGTACTTTTAAGAACTGATAATGATTTCAGCTACTATTTTGCTTGAATATATTTTCTTATGAATTCTTACTTTTGTTAATATCATCCCAGTAAAAAAAACCCAAACCATAAGAATCTCACTGTTTCAGAATGCTGCAAGTTAATGAGTTGGAAATACAACTTTTGCTTATTCTCTCACAGCTCAATGCCAAAAGTTAATAGAAATATGGTAGTTTGCAGTAGATAACTCTTTATGCCTACCATGATTATGTTGGGAAGTTGGACTATTTTTGTAGCTCTCATAGTTAACTCATTCTTAAGTTAGTGTATATCAATGGCCAGATTGCCATCTTTTCTGCACACTCAAAACTCTGCTTAAGAAATGCCCATTAAAGAAAAGCTCCCACAGCACAACCAAGAAAAAGGATGAAGTGGACATATTTCCATCCTCTGACCTAGAATACTAATAATTCACATTACTACTATTCTGAAGTCTTTTGTACTCAGGTTCTCTTCACAATCTCCAGGCCATCTCAGTCCAGGTGTTGTCATTTCTGTATGCAAAATCCATTTATGCCAACTTCAGTTAGGTTATGAGTACTATTTTGTTTTAGTTCAAAACGATTCATTATGAGTCTTTAAACTCCACAGAAAATGTAATAGCATGAATCACGTACCAAAACTGAGATAAACAGATAAATGTTTTATTCATGAGTATGGGGGCTTTAATACACTCTTAAGCAATGCTAAAAATTGGTCAAATTTTGCAAAGTATGGGCATGAGAATTCAATAATTTTATCTCTTCAGAGTTTGGTTTAAGCACTTAGATAGTTAAAAATATGGATATTCTAATGTCAGGAGAGTTCTTTCTATTCACCTGAAGTAAATTTTAAACACATTCCTTTTGATGACAGTTATATTTTACAAGTACATTCACACATGTAAGTAAAACCTTTCCTGAATAAATGATTGCTTTTCAATATGTCAAGCTTTTGGTTTAGGATTCTCTGTCCTTTTATGTTTTTTGGTGTTTGTGTGTTTGTTTGTTTTGTGGTTTTGTTGTTTTTGTTGTTGTTTTGGTTTGGGGTTTTTTTTGGGGGGTAAGTTTAAAATATTTCCATTAATCAACTTAGGCTGCTGAAGTCTATGGAAGTTTTGTGCTATTGAGGTTCACCAAATCTAATGACATATTTATACAAAAGTGTAGGGCATCACTCTTTTTTCTACTCCTCTTCAGAGTAGGAACTCATGAGTTTGCAAATCTGTCAAAACAAGAAATTTGTCCTGAAACATATAATTGCACTTAATTGTGCTTTGTTGTAAAACACAAATTCATACAGTTGCACTTATTCTACCTGTGTCGTTGTTACAATAAAGTAGTAGTTTTCTGTAGATAAAGTGCTTTTCTATGATTTCCAATTGCTTTTGGTGCAGACACTGAATCTGATGGAAGTTGTGTGTACTATCACATTATGGTCATGATTATCTGTTGTCTCATAAAAATCTTGCTGTTCCAGTATTTGTGCAGAGAGATAATGAAATTAAAATACATGCTAAAAATGGAAAAACCAGTAAATGCAATTTCAAATAATCATGATGGAATTAAGTATGACATTACTGTACAGTGTATATAGGATATATATGTTTCACAGCGTAAATGCAGAGAAAATGGCATTACAACACAACTTAAAAAGTTATTGAGTGATTAAAAAATGTGTCTACATAACATTTCTGTATTTATTTTTTGATATGAATCTGGCTTTAGTTCTAATTTTCCTACAACAAAGTTTCAATCACCATTTGAGCTTTTTAGGCTAGTGGGATAGTTTTTGTTTTTGAACTGGGAGATGTATGGATTATTTCCTTGTAATTTTAGGATAATTTTTCAGTACAAGGATGATACTTTTTTAATGTGTATTTTGTCACTGTATTGACTCTGTATGTCTTTTTATCTTTACAGAAGAATTACATAAAACTGTCAGTTTTGCTGCAAAACAAGTGTCAGAAACAGCTGATACTGATATGAAGAACCAGACAGGAGATGAATCGAAGGAAGAAACAGAGTCAGAAAAGACTTCTGTTTCCAGGGAAACCTGGATTAGCTTTGAGGACTTCTGTGTTTGTTTCCAGTAAGGAGTAGAGAGTTTGGGGTTTATTCCATAAAATATACAGTGTAACAATCGTAAAATTCATAGCATGTCTATATAGAAATCGTATCTTCTTAACAGGTCTTCTTCGTATGACTATCCTGCCTTTCAGGGTGATTTCAAGGCTACTTTTCAGACCAGACTTACTGTCCCTGTTGACAGTGAGCCTGTAGCTGCAGCCCTGCTCTGTTCCTGCAGTGTGTCCTTCGGAGTACAGTGAAGAACACAACCACCAGTTCCATAAATGATATGTCAGACTGCAGTGAGGGTGGAAGATTGTAGACTGTGGAGTGTGTAGACATTAAGTGCTCGCATACCTTACCCAGCAGCCACTGGGCACACAGTCTGCATCAGAGCAACACAATTCTAAAATAAAAAATAGTTGTTGAAATCAGTTGCCATCAGCATAGCTTAGCTTGGTCAACTAGGTGGTTTCTTTCACTCCCTTTTCAATATAACCCCAAGGCATTTATACCTCTGCAAACATGAAAAAAGCTGGTGTACTTGTAGCATCATATCTTTAGTTTCGATCTTTAAGTTTTAAGAAGACTGGTACAATATATATATATACTTTAGAGAATCTAGGATTGCTGAGAGGAGTGATTTTATCAGAGAAAATCCACCCAGGTTTTATGGTTTGAATTTGTAACTGAGATTTATTTGTGAAGCTTTTATTTTCATAAATGGATGGTTTCTTGAGCAGATTTTAAACTCTGCTCCCTCTCTAAAGGAAAATTTATATCTGCTATACCAGCCAGCAATAGAGGAACATTAGGAGTAAAAGATCATAGATCACTTTAGGCCTTGGTAACGTTTGCCTGTTACGTTTAGTTAGTCCCAGGTCCCAGAAGATAGAGCCTTCAGAAAAAAGGCATCACAACCAATGTAATTTCCTTTCAAAGTCTTGCTTACAGTGTCATATGGAGAGAATGTGAAATATGAACTTTCTAACTTGTTAACCAAATTTTAAAGTACTGTTGACATTTTGTAGACCAATATTCATATTAATTAAGGTATATAGCATTTTTCAGTTTCTTGTTCTTATCTCTAAATAAGTGAGTTTTTTGACTGTGAACTGATAAAGTAGCTGTTAACAAAGCATCTCGATTGATCTTGGAAGAATTTATCCCTTAGAAGAAATTAGGCACTTAATATTTTAATTTTATCAGTCAGTTGAAAGTGTGTTCTTATCTGACATGCCTACATCTCAAATACAGTCAAAATAAGATGAATGTTCATAGTTCATATGAAAGTTTGAGAAACAAGAAAAATTTTAGCCAATGTAGGAATTGGTACATCAGCAATGGGTCAGGATTCCTGTGATGTGCCTGAGTAATCAAAACATTATAGAGTTCACATCATGATTCCATCCTCAATTAAAGCTGAAGTAATTTATGTTACCTTTGGTGAAAACAAGGTCAGAAAAAATTGTCAGTAACTATGTAGCTTTCTGTAGGTGTGCAAACAGCACATAACTGAAAAAGCACATTTTTAAACTGTATAAAACAGCCCTTTCTTGCAATTATATTTTATTACAGTAAATTTTCAGATGGTCATGTAAGTTTTAGAGTAATATTAACATGTTACCATTTATAGATTGAAACTGAACAAATTAGTGGCCTGACCTCCAATGGAAAACTGTAGAAATGCAACAAAGATAAAAACTAATGTCAGCTGCTTTCTCTGGAGATGAATTGTATTCCCCTTTTATGAAATGAAAAAATGTTGAACCATTTTTGCTAAATACCTGGGAGTCTGATTTATGAAGGTAAAATTAATATGCTATTAAATAGACATTTACCTGAAAAATATCATTTGTACTGATTATTTTCATACATAATTCTATTTTGTATTCTCCTTAGGAACCTGTATGTTTTCCACAATCCAGATACATATGCTTATAATTATCAGAAGACAGATTTTAAGGTATATGAATATATTGTTTGGTTTTTTTAATCTTTGCCTAAGTCTTACATAAATAGGTAACACATACATCCTGAATGATATTGGTAGATCACATAGAACTACCATTACTGAAAAATAGTAATGCATTAAGTTTATTGTAGTCAATACAAGTATATGTTTGCTAGCAAATATCCAGAAGTATTTCACTGTATTTAAGACAAGGGAAAAATATTGTGGAGTACTACGGCACAAAAACAAAAAAATGGATTATGTAAATAATGCGAGTTGATAGTGAAGCAGATCTCCATCCTCTCTTTATTTTGATTTAAACCTACCTTATAACAACTCAATGTCTAACTTGAATTTAATCACGATTCAGCTGCAGAATCTGCCCTTTCATTCTCCTTCATCTTCCCCTGTCACCTAAAGCCCAAATCATGAGTCTATTTAGCATAGCCCTCCATTTTCTCTTTAAATGTTAAGACCTTTAGCTATTTACAGCATCCTGTTGCAGGGATTAAAAGTACCATTTAATTCCACTGAAATTATGAAATTTCTCTAAACCTGCCATTAGTTCATATTATCAGAAGGTTATTCAACATGCTTGAATATCCTGTTCCACCTCCAATTTTATAGTGTATCTGAAGTGTAATTTTAGAGTACCGAAATGCAAATTCCCAGCATGAACTTTCTTTAAAATCCTGTACTGGGAAGGTTAACTACACTTATTATGCTTCATAATTGTAGTATACCTGCAATTTCACACCTCTCTGTAATCACAAGAAATTTTCCTAACGACTGCACGATACACTTTCACAAGCCATAATCAGCATTAAGACTATGAAGCCTGTGTGCTGTTGTGCCAAAAAAACCCAACCCTTTGCTGTAAAACCATTCTAATTTTTTACATTGATACAAATGAGGCATTTACACCACTAGGTAAATTCTGTATCATGCTTAATAAAATCATGATTCCTATTACGATAGGAAGGCAATAGTACTTGCATTCTAGGATCAAATACCAAAAAATGGATTTATATGACTCTGGAAAATCCAGGAAGACGTGTATTGTAACAATTTTGAAGAAAGAAGCTCATTCAGATTCAGATTTTGAAGAATTTCTAGGAACAGTAGAATCATTAGTTTCTAATACTGACATAGGAATTATGTAGCAAAGTTGCCAGTGAAAAATGTTGCCTCCTTAAATTTTTCTAGAAAAAAACATTGTGAGGAAGGATCACTCATGTCTAAAAATTTTAAAAGTACATATTTAAATTTTAATTTAAAAATTAAAAACTTTCTTTCAAGCTTATAGCAATTAGTTTGAATCAGAAAGTTGCAGCACAAAAAATTTTTGATCTTCCATTGAATGGCAAGTGGAACTACTGAATTGAGACTGAATATGAAGAATATTACGTAAAAGTAGATATATTCTCATTCAAGTAACTGTTTTCTTTCCTTTTATCTCTTAACTGAACATTATAATACAACATTAGGCTCTGGGTCTATACTGCATGTCTGAAATTTGGAAGAAGTAGTGACAATAATTACCTTCTTACCCTTCTGTAGCTATGAAATCTTAGCCATACTTTGTATAAGGGCAGTCGGACAGTATTCAATGAAAATGAAAGATGAACAAGTGTCTGTTTTTTTATGCAGTTTACTAATGACCCAGTCATCTATTATTTACTTGTGGACAGTCTGATGCCCACTGAAATCATAGTCAGCTTTTCTGCTTTAGTGCACTGGGATGATACTGGAGGTAAGGCCAACACACGAAAAGTACATGTTAATGTTTTGTTTTCCCTTTCTTAAATATTTCTGTGCTCTTGTATTTGGCTGTTGTGTGTTTGGGCACAGTTTGAGAGTTTAGCATTAAATAGCCAAATTGATTCTAAGAAATACGCTAATATTCCAGCAATACTTCATCATTATTTCATGTTGATGATGAATATTTTCATGAAAGGATCCCTCCCTTTACTGTTTATTACAATTTGCTGCAAGTTTTTCCTCACTATATTTCTAGTATGGATTTCCTTGTGTTTCTTGGGGTTTCTTTTCTACAAATTCCATTCTTGCAATCTACTTTATGCCTTAGCTGATCATAATGCCATAAAAACAGCAGTATAAATGAAGTATATTTTTGAAATTATTTTTGAACTGGTGCATAGTAAGCTCTTAAGTATGTTTAAAGTTGGCTTCTTTCAAGATCCAACAACTGGGAATATTTAAATAAAAGTCATTTGTATTTAATGAAAAACATAGAATGGTATTCAGGAAAGCTAAGTTATGTTATGATAGTTGGCTTAGGTTAACCAGTATTTAAACACTGGATATGAATGTAATTTTAGTGCATCCACAGTGGTGGAGAGAGAACCAAAAGAAAGCTTAAAAAACCCAAACTGACCATTCTGTTAAAATAATTAAACTATAAGCTGTAAATATAAATAAATATAAGCTTTTTATGGCTGTTTCCTTTGCTTTCATGGGGGCAGAGTGGATTTCTATGGAGTTTTACAGTAGCCTGAAATGACTTGGAAGATATCTGATGTACATATTCTTCTAACACATTCTTTTGACTATTATTTTAAAGTAAATGGTACAAATAAGCCATATTGTGTGCCACCTATGCATTTTAAATGAATGGCTTTTTTCTCCGAGTTAGCAAAGCCTAAATGCAGACTTTGCTGGCTGTGAAGTAGCTACAGATTCCATGTGTTTGTCTTAATTTTATAGTTGTTCACCCTCCCAGTATTGTGTGGGTTGTGTTTTGATTTGTTGTGTTTTTTTCTTAATCTAGGAACTAAACAAGAATGTTCCAGTATTTCAAAGGGTGTGCTGACAGTTGAACATTTCTCTTGGAAATCTGTGACTCCTGGAGAGCTTGTGTTAAAGATGCATACATCTGCCACCAAAGCTACTGTGTTAAATCTTCCTACTGGGTATGTATGAGGCTTTGTTTCTGTCCTGACACTTTAGTCCTAAGGCTTGAGGTGATTGTTTACTTTACACAGTAAGTAAGAGTTTATTTTCTAAAACTACATTTTTGGAATATCAAGCTGGTTGATAGCTAGGATTTGGTAAGACTACCAAGTTGCTCTGAATTTACCAAAACTTTTATTCTGACTAGAATGATTTTGAAATGTTCCCTGGAGTAGCAAGAAAAATTTAAGAATTAGAGTCTTTTAGTGGAACTGTAAAAACATGATGATACCATAGGAGGTTTCAGTGCTTTTGTTGAAACAGCATTTATGAAACATGACAGAAGAAATCCTAAGGTTATTCCTGAAGCCTTTGATATCTTACATTCATGTAGCACTTAATATTATTTATATTATAGAATACTGAAATTAAAGATCTTTAATAGTGCTCTTTATTTGTTTTGATTTAGACTAAAATTGGAATAGTTATTTTTATGTTTGTAGGCTAGTTCTGCCTCCGTATGTATTTCCCTAATGTAGTTTCCAAGAGTTGCATACCTCTGTCTTGTAGGGAAGCCCAAAAATGTTGATCTTTTTGCACCTGCAAATTTCAAAGCTAACAGAGATACAAGCAGCTCAAATTTATATGCTACCCATCTTTGATTCTCCCTACTCCAGGCAGAGCCAGGAGGCTTTCAGTCAGATTTAATTTACAGCAGTTGTGGGAGATGAATGGGCTTATTGACCACTTCCCCATTTCATTCCAAATGAGAATTTGGAACTTTCTAAGCCAGGAAGGCACTCTTTTCCCGCTGTTTGTTAGTGGCCAGGGGAAATTTCAATTTCTCTTGAAAGAAGATGCAATTAAAACAAAGCGAGTGTGTGGGGGTGAGTACGTCTCCTTTCTTACTCCCACCGCTAGATTCCTGGTTAACACTTTGAAGCTACAGCCTGAAAGAACTTCTCCAGCTAGATGCAATTCTGTCAATGATCTGAGACCGTGATGCTTTGGTATCAGCCAGCTCCTCAAGTATTTCAGTGGGACTGCAAGATAGTGTTGACTAGAGAGAAAAGCAGGAATCCTTTGTTTTGTATAACTGTAACTAGGAATGATTTCTTTTAGAGTCTGTTATAGGATACAGTTAGGCAAACAAGAATGATCTGAGTGTATCACAATAAGTCATAACTGAATTTCTGTTGGTAACCTTAGGAGATTATTATTGGGTAGTTCGGCCTGCAGTTGCACCATATAGTGGTCACTCAGTAGTGTTCATCAAGCCTGATACAATTATACACTAATTTTTCCTTGTTTTGTCAGTGCAAACATGGAAATTTTGGTTTAAGTAATGCATGACCAGAAGACTTGATGACTTCTCTAAGCTTTCTAGAGCAGATATGTTTAAAGTGTAGCTAAATATAATCCTGATTAAAAAATTTGTGGTTTGTAGCTATATGAAATAGTGAGTCCACCTATTTTGCTTAACAAAATCAAAATAAAACCCAAACAAATAAAAATAAAATAATACTGACTTCTCTGATTTCACCTACTGTCCACAGTTGGAGGTTCTTGAAAAGAAAGGAGTTAGACATCTCGGATTTTGAAGCACAGGGACATCTAGGAAAGGATTTCAGTATTACCAAATGCAGAAAAGAAAAGCTTAAGAATTGCTGTAACCTAAAAAAAAAAAAGTTAATTTATTTTCTCTTGAATGTAGGCGACACACATTACTCTTCACAGTAAGTTCTCCCATTGGGCACCATATTAATCTGTGTACCACGGTGCCGTGTGTCTTTGGAGAAGAGGATGCTGTGATGCCAGCCCTTGAAAAGGTATGTGTAATAAAAACTAGTCAAGTATTGTGATAACAGTATTTCAGACTATTTATTAGTTTTAAAGTGAAGTAATATTGGATTTTCATTTAGAGTTATTATGTTTAATGGTATAATATTAATTTCAATATTCAGTGGATAAGGGCATAAAAGATACGTGTTTTACAGCACAAGAGGCACTGAGATGGATATTGCTAAAAATTATCTTACATGTAAGTTAGCATTGGGTAGTATTGTGATTTACATAGGACAGCAGCATAAAATCTTAAAAATACTCATGCTGGAATATATATGTCTGAGATACCATATAGCTCACTTTTTGGGATATATGATAAAATACATGTACAAATTATAATTAATATGCAAAAATACCTGCCTATTAAAATAAATTGTCACATCAGTAAAGTTAGTTTTTTTCCCATGAGCTCACATATTACTCACTGGGTCCCAGAGCAGCTTTTATATCTAAAATGAGCAATTTAATCAAACAACTTTTCATAGTTAAGAGGCCCAGGAGAGCAATTACTAAAGATTTTCTTCTTCATTGTCTAAAATCCAGACAAATATCCATATTTTCAAAATTTCTTTGGCAAGCAGTAAGCCCAAATATTTTTCATGGGCACTGAGGGGAGGAAAATAGTTTCTAGCTAATGGTTTTGCAAAAATATTTTAAAAGGTGAGTGTGACAACAAATTTACATAGCAGTGTAGATTCAGGGTCCTAATAATAGAGCACTAAAGCACATTTATTACATTTATTTTAGCAAGGAAGTTTAAATATAAGAAGTTGGTCCATTAATATGTTATGGCTGTACTAACACATTGCCTTCAATTTCTGGATGAAAAGCTATTTGTTGTCAAGCTATTTGTTCTTGGATCTTCTCTGCATTTCCTTTTAAAGACAGCAATTTCTCTACAAAGTGTCATTTGCAGGAAAGTATCCATATTCTTGCACAGAAATCCTGATGAAGATTAAAGATGCTTTAGGCAGCATGTATTCTGTCATTGTTTTCAGGGGGATTCAAATACTAATTTGTCCTTTTATAACAGAAGATTCTGAGCATTTCAGCTGGCAAAGTCGTATTATCACTGCAGTAGAAAGTCTCTGTATGCATCTTATTTTTGTTTAAATTTCCTAGAACTATTGGTACAGGAAAAATAAAACAATTAATAGATATCTGTTATGGTGTCTGTTAGAGTGTTGTAACCTTTTAATTTTGGTAAAAATTTCGGTAAAATCAGTGAAAATTTTGTATGCTTTTGAACACCAGGACCTAATTGATTTTACAGTTTATAAAATTAATAACAATTGCTTGGATTCAGAAAAGTTTTGTACTTCATTGCAGGAAGAAAACTTGTATGCTGTCACAGCCTAGAAAGAAAACAAACAAAAATTTTAAAGCAATCTTTCTATCAGTGGTTGGGTGTATTCTCTCTCCCCAGGAGAGCTCTCGGTTTACAGAACAAGCTACAGCTATCCTGAAAGCTGTTGGAAATGTGATAAATAATTACAGCAGTGAGGATGAGCTTTCTAAAGCCTTGAAGGAACTGGAACTAACTCTCTGTCCTCCTGGTATCCATGGTACTGAAATGGCTGAAGAACTCTACAAGGTGAACAAACAATTTTAATAAACACGTTAAACATTTTAATAAACATTAAAAGCTACAGCAGCTGGATAACAGCTTAACATTGTCATTATCCTCTTCAAAACAATGTCTATGCATTTAAAAAGGACCACCTGCATGCTCTGAATGGGGCATTTGTTATAATGTAAGCCCAAAAAACATTACTTGGAACTGTATGATAATTTTCTTCTTTTAATAAGAACAAATTTCAATATGCACAGAGCAGCACGTTCTAAATCAAGTCTATTTTTGTCAATCTAGTTTAGCGTACTTTGGGGCAGAAAGCATGAGGAGTTCTTTATATTAAGACTTCATTTTGTATTTAAAAGACTCTCCCTGAAATTCAGTAAAGCCAGAATGGTTCTTTTCTGTGTCTTATGTTAATGGAACAGAAAAGCATTATTGCAGCTTATATTACTGTAGGCAGTAATGATTTTTTTTCACTAATAGCATTTTTAGGTGTTTTTCTTTCTTTCTTGAAACTGCAGAATTCTTATTTAACTTTTCTGCTCCGTATGTATGATAAATTAAAGGGTCTTTAGATACACGATGAAAATGTGACACTTTTCTGTAGATCTCTATCCTATGAGTTTTCAATATTGTAAGAAGATTGCAACAAATAAAGTTTTAAAAAGGACATGGTAATTTTTATTTATATGCAAACATTGATAATACTGTTATCAAGTTGTAACTTGATAATAATCAAGTTAGAACTTGATCGTTATAAAGCCAGTACTTTATATAGTCCACATTCATCTACTTTCGTCACAGTACTAGAAAACTCATGTACCTTAAACTATGTATTTTAGAATATTGAATAGAAGAAGGAGTTTAGTATTTTTATAATCACTGTTATTAAATTTAAAACGCCTAAGACAGTGCTTTTGTATGTTGACACCATGCTCAAACTCAGCAAAACAACAGAATTAAGAAAGAGTGATTCCAGGTGCACCACTCAGGAAAGAGGTCATTTTCATGCCACATCCACCAGAAAAAAAATTGATTTGAACTCTCTGGAATGGAAAATACAAATTTGAAATGCATATGCTCACATGAACACACATATCTCTTCCTCTCTCACCCTCTAAGAAGACCAATGTATAACTGAAAAAGAATAAAAAGCCAGAAATTGGATAAATGAAAGGCACTGAGCTGACAGTGATTCAAGACTGAAAATATGGAAATGATCTTTCTTTAATACAGTGAAAAACTACTCTGAATGTAAGAATGAATGTAGTAGATTCTTTCTTCACCAGTCTTAAATATTACGAAGATGAGTTTATTAATAATAAAATAAATAAAATGTTTACAGAAAGCAGAAGAATCCAAAATTAAGGGCAATGAAAAAGAGAAATTATGTCTTTTCCATTAAGTTATTACTATGTTCTTCAACTCAGATTATGGAACAAGTTTTGAAAAACACACTCTAAATTTTCCATCTACTAAAGGAGGGAAAAATAAAAATAATAAAGAGAGACTGGATTTCTGCTCTTTAAAGAGCATAATGTGTCAAGAATAAAAATAGAGCCAAATCCAATAGAGCCCCTTCTCTGTGGTGCCACCTCTTAATCTAGTAAGCATGCCCATTCAGTTATCGGTCTCTGATCTGTAACCTCCAGTCATGAATGCCAGTTGTCATGATAACAACTGTATTATGTTCTTCTCTGGTATAAGGCCACCAATCTACTACACATAAACCACTAAGATATTTTGGGTAATAAAACACTGTAGAATAAGTCCTATTTTTGGTAAGCCAGACATGAAACAGGTTTTCTCTTGATTGTTGGCTTGAAGCATTGTAGTCCTACACCTGAAACTAATTTTCAGATACTTTATTTTTGTGGAGGAAGTTTGAGACTTCATTTTTACATGATAAAAGAGTTAAACAGTTTTTTGAAACAATAAAGAGAAGCAATATAAATCAGCTTTTAAAAATTCATCATTCTTTAAATGCTTTTCCTCATTTTGATTTTAGGTTTTCAATATTGCATTTTGGTATTTGATCAATTATGTAATAGACAAGAAGACTTCTTACAGATACAAACTTGCCTTCAGGTCTTTCACTTTGGATTTTGAAGACTTTAAGATTTCTGGGGATGACCCTGTGTTTTCAGGTACTGTATTGTTATTGCTAATTGCTTCGAATATGTCTGCCCATTCTTATTTTCAAGGAAGCCAACTCTTCACTAATCTTATTTTTTCTTGACCGAGTAGGCACAGTTCATTTTAAAGCCAAAGACTTCTCTTGTTGACAGCACATCTGAGAGTCAACTCAGAATAGAAAGGATCATTTTCTTTGTTCCAGAAAGTCTGTTTAGCCTTTGTTATGCTATAAGATAGCCCTGAATCTTTGCTGGCTTGCATTTACCAGTATTGAAAAACATTAACAAACACCTGTAGGTGCATTTTTTACCTTATGTACTGCAGATCATCACTTTTGTTCAAATTACCAGCTGAAAACATCCTGAATGCATATATTGTTCATGAAAAGAGAGTGGAGAAAGACTCAAGTTAGTACCTTTGTTGAAAGTTTCTTAGTTATGGGTTGAGAATTTTTTGTTTGTTTCTTTTAGGGGGAGGGATATTCTGATTTTCGTTGGCTTGCTTGCTTACTTGCTTGCTTGCTTGTTTTTTAAGCTCAGTCTTTGGAAAAATTGTGTTGGCTAGTTAGGTGGCTAATCACATAAATGCAGTGTGGAATTGGCTACAGCACCATCCACCTCTTCTCCAGCCTGTGATTAGGGTATGCTATGTACCCAAACGTACTGTGAGAGGAGCCAATGGAAGGCCAACTTATTTATTACAAGTAGGGATAACTCTCTTCCTGCAGGTTTTTTGCTTCATTTTGTATGCAGGCTGGAGGCATTATGTATTAAGTTTGCCTGGCAACCAAATATATGGCTCTTTTCCATTTTAGGACTTTTCAGTCTGTGTAACTTTTTAATCTATGAATATTAACGTTTAAAAATAACAGCTTTATGTGTATGGTTTCATACTACAACAAAACAAGGATTTATCTGAAAAATAGGCAGGAAGATACATGATCACCATTTGAAGGCCTTTAGAGGGACTTAGCTTTTCCTTCTTCTCTTATGAATTTACAGAATAAAGGGTTTCTACTTGGTCAGTCAAAATGATACTAACTTCCTTTTGATTATTCATTTTATTCCAGAAAATCAGATTAAAAAAAATTAAAATTTACACAAAAATCTTTATTGACACAATGATGTAATACTCTCATTTGTTTAAGAAAGCACATAGAGACACTTGTCTCTTTACTGGGGACTTTCCTCCAAAACTCTTCTCTTCTGAAGGTCATTCTTCTGTGAGACAGCAGGCATTTTGAAGGGAGTTGCATCCCTTGGCAAGAGTATAAGGGTCAGCATATTGACATTTGTCACACCGCTTGAAGTCAACAACACCTGTCATATTTTTTCATGATGACTGTGCTACTGAATTCTGTATTCCAAAAAAACCCCTTAAACACTTGTCAGCAATAAAAGAGAAGATATTTTTAAAATAGATTTGAATAATTAACACAGTTGACAGGTTGTAACAAAGACCTCATATATATTACTAAAATATGAGATCCACTGTGACAGAATATTTTTTAGGATTTGGGCAGTGAATCAAAAAAGTGGAATGAATGTATGAAGGAAGGTCCGTTTCAGTTTTCTTTCATCCAGTATCCTTTTAATGTATTTGCTTTTACAGAATTAAATTACAAAATATTCCTACTGGACTGTAAAGTTAATTGTTTCCCTGTGGTTTTATTGACTTTGGACATTTTTTCACCTTTATTAATGTTTGCCCTGCTTAATAAAGGCTGCATTGGAGTAAGTGTATGATTTTGTTCAGGTTCCATCCAGAACCCTAAAGAAATAAAGCATATAAAACAAGTGAAGAAGTCAAGGAAAAATAGGTAGATATCAGGAAAAAACAGGTGAGGAATGCATTGTAGGAACTCCTAGGAGGATTGGCATCACCTGATTTGCTTAGCCCATTAGCACTGCTGCATTGTCAGGATGTTGCTCAGATCTTGTTAAGACTTTAATTGTAACCCTTTGGAACTTAACAGACATCAGCGCAAACTACCGTAACAGAGGACTGAAATATTCTTGTTGTCTATGTCTGAGAGTATATCAGGTGAAATCTGAGATTTTTTTTTAAATATCACCTCTATTTTATATTAGCTTATTCATTTTGCACTGTGTGCTGAATTAATCTCAAGATTTACTAAGGGCAGGAATATTGTGATGTACTGCAGTTAGCAATCATGTCTGATAAGGTTTCTGAGAAGCCATCCCGAAAATGATATAGTGGTGTTTATTTGATTGCCAAATATCATCCATCCCCATGGAGCAATTCACACAGGAGCCACAAGAAACAAGTGGAAGACAGTGCTGTGTAAACATATGAAACAGAGACGGCAATTTCTGAAGCTGAGTGTTTCTCCATGGCATAGCTCTTCTGTGGTCTTGTGGGAAGAGAGTGGATAAAGGGGCCCTGCAGAACTCTAGGCAGTCACGAGATGCTGAATTTGTAGAGGTATGTGATGCCTACTGGGAAAGGAAGCATACCAGGATGATGTTACACAAGAGATAGACTTGATGGCTCAATAATGCTTACCTGCTCTCTGTTGCACATGTTCTTTGCCTTTTCCTGGTTGCACTGGGCCCAATAGTGAGCCAGCTCAGTTCATTAACTCCCTGGAAGTCTGTGGCACTGATTTTCAAGAGGCTCAAACACCTGACAGTCTTTTAGGCACATTTCAAATACCACATTTCTTTCTCACAGATAAATTCCAACTTTGAAGTTGGAAGTGGAATACCCTTTGTGTACAGTTCTTTTAAAACCTTCTGGTGTGAAGTTTTACCTAGAAGTCAAGCTGTTTGCTATAAGCTTATCTCAGCTGTGTAAACCGTAATTGAGAAGTCCTGTTCCTGCTTAGTTCTTTTCCAGAATAAGCTTCTCTTTCCTCCAGGAACATAGGGTGAAGATCAGTGATCATTCAGTTGTTGATGTGTGACTGAAGAGAGAATTTGAACATTTGTTTCTTCTTGCACTTTGGATTTGAACTTGAGTTCCAGTAAAGGGTGAAGGAAAGTTTGACATTAATTGGTTGAATATGTAAAGTGTTTGTTGAGTACATGCAAAACACACCTTTTTTAAAGAAATCATTGTTACTTTGCCTACAAGAAAACTGCAGCTGATTTCACGGTGAACAAAGCTTTGCAAGGCTCCTTTGAAAATTTCAGTTTATTATTAGAAGAGGTGTCTTCTGATTAATAGCAAAGATATGCCAGAAATTTTTGATGAATCAGTTTTCAGTCATGATGTCAAATTTGAAGCATCGACTAGTTAATATTGGTTGATTTAAAGCATGTCACAGTAACACATTTCTCTGCTTATAAGACATAATATTAAGAAATGTTAAGTAAAAAGAGCCTTTAAAGATCAGAATATTAATTTAGACCTCATTACTTTGACTTGAATGTTACAAAGAAAAATATTTTTATTCTTCTGACATTGTATTAAAGTTAGGACAAAAATGAAACTCCTTAGGAATGTATACTTCCAAAAGACATTCAGCATTTTTGGTTTTTTGACCTGTTCTAGGGTAACTTTTTACATTTTCTATGAATAGAATTCATTTCTGTTTGACTCTTCATCCAAATTTTTTATATTTGTGTATTCAGAAGCAGGTTTTTATTGAATTAAGTGACTGCCTATCCACTTTAGCCTCACAAATGAAATGTTTTATTTCTAGATACATACGTCTTCATTTCTAGTTGTGGAGTCAACTTGCCATCCTCAGTGGATAAACTTTAAAGTGTGTTCATTGGGCAACACCAGATCAATGCTTTCCATGTGTACTTTTATATATTAGGATCTCCTTACTTATTTGGTCAATATGTGTATATGTGTGTTCATATAAAAAGTATACAAGTTCTACTTTATAATATATTATTTTGCCTTATATGAGGAATGTAGGCTCTTCAGCAGAGGTCATTCTTCTGAGCTAAAACACATGCTGAAAATTGAAGTCTATTTCCTTTCCTTGAAAACAGTTATTAGTGGAGTCAAAAGCCACTTTGCCACTGGGATTTTTAATTATAAAATAGACAAGCTTGTAGATGGAACAAATTCATTTTGAAATGTGTTACGCTGATGAATAAATGGGAGAAGCTAAGAGCCAAAATCTTGTAGAGATGCACAGACAGGCCACATCTTAGAACATATTAAATTCCAGCTGGATGTTAGGAAAACATTTTTATCAATGAGGCTAGTCAAAAGTTGGAAGAGAATGCCAGCGAAGTTATGGAGTCTCTGTGGTTGTAAAAGTATTAAAAATGTACTGGAAATTTGCTCAAAAACATAAGCAACCTTCTCTGAATTGATCCTGGTTTGGATGTGGAATAGGACCAGATGACCTTCAGTGATCCACTCCAGCCCTTATTGTTCTGTGATTATATGCTGTTTTTATAAAAGTGGTTGTAGCATTAATACTGTCAAGTTCTAGCCTGTTTTCTGTTGAAGTAGGGTTGTGTAATCTTTCAGAGTCACCAAGTATTAAAGGGGCTTTCTGGAGTTTGGAAATGCAACATTGATGAGAAAGGGTGGTTGGGAACACAGCCAGATTTAAAAGTATTCAATAGAAAAGATTAGATTGAAATGTGTGGTCTATCTGATGAAGGCAATATCTTTTCTTAAACCAGTTGGTTTGTCTGCAATGTTGTCTACATCTTTCATGGTTGATTTCTCTCTTCTCTTTTTTTGTTTGTTGGTACTTCCTTTTGCTGAACTGTTTCCTTCCTATCATGCTGTCTCACTCCTCTTGGTCCGTATCTGTGCAGCTCCAAACTGGCCTCCTGGCACTGGCTCCTTGTAGTGTTGCTCCCCACATCTCCCTCCTAAGCCATGGTGGTAACGGCTCCCAGGACGCCTTCAAAGAGCTCATTACTAACCTGTCAGAACTTACTAATTTCTGTTCCACTGCAAAACTTTATGGTAACAGAAAGCCAGAGAAGTGAACTCTCCCTTTTCGTAGATCTTATCCTTATTCCATGTCTCCTTAGTGAAGGCAGAACAAAATGTTTTGAACAACACTGGTGTTTAAATTATCACTTAATAAAATTATCAGATTGAGAGAGAGAAGAATTTAAAATTTTGTAAAGCTCTTTTAAACTGTGTTTACAGTCAGGCTTTAATGTATCAAATCATTTTGGTTCATATTCAGAAGGATACTTTGGTTCATATTCAGAAGGATGCTTTATGTTAGGAGACAATTTTAAAAAATGCACTGCAATAGCTGGCAACAAAGAGAAGAATTAAATGATTTGGTATTTGGAATTAACATAGTGATTGCATTTTAACTTTGTGTGATTATACAGTATATTTTCTCTAATTTTATCATAAAACCATATCTTAAAACCAAAATTTTAAGAGTAATATTTTTGTCATAAAAGTTTTATGCTGAAACCACACTGTTTCTGAGTCACAGATCTCTTGTCCTTTTCTTTTTATTTTGTTGGGTTTTTTAATTTTTAATTCATTATAAGCATCTGTAGGACTTCTAGTGTTGTATATGTTGGTCATTCTCCCCTTCTTTCAGAGACCAGTGAGCAGAATCTCAGTAGTTGGCAGGACCGAACTCCCACATCTGAAGAACAAGCAGCAGCTCTCAAAATTCAAGCCATCTGGAGAGGGTCCTATGTTAGGACAGTACTGAAGAGCAGAAGACCAGGTATGTCCTTTAAAAATGCCTTTCAAAAGTGTTTCATATCTTATCTTATTCAGATCAAAGGATCACAGAATATGTCAAGTTGGAAGGGACCCACAAGGATCATCAAGTCCAATTCCTGACCCTGCACAGGATCCTCCCAAAGAGCCACACCATGTGCCTGAGAGTATCATCCAAAGGCTTCTTGAACTCTGTCAGGCTTGGTGCTGTGACCACTGCCCTGGGGAGCCTGTTCAGTGCCCAGCCACCCTCTGGTTGAAGGACCCTTTTCTAATGTCCTACCTAAACCTCCCCTGACACAACTTAAGGCTATTCCCTTGGGTGCCACTGATCATCACAGAGAAGAGATCAGTCCTTTAAGGATTTTTTGACCAATTAACATCTAGTTAAAATTAACTGAAATGCAGTAAACATTATAGTTTTATTAAATATACCTAACCACTCAACACATACAGTATTAAAAAGTAGAGGAAAGATACACTACCCCCCCGAGATATGCATAGATATTAAATCAGAATTTACATTCATGTACATTTAACTCAGCTGGGCAATGATGTTTTTTGTTTGGTTTTTTTTGTTTGTTTTTTTTCCTGGAAATATAAAGGAAATCATACAAGAACATGAGCTTCATAATGGATAATAAGTGGAACACACACAGTATCAGAGTCTGATACTTTGCTCAAAAGATACTATACCTAATACTATCTTTCTTATGTATATAGAGGAATCTTACGTAGCAGTTCAAGACTTGTAGTACATTTCCTATTCAGCAGTTCTATTATCTCAGCTTAAATATTGTGTCCAAGTGCAGCGTCCACAGTCCAAGACAAAAGAAAGGTAGATAACAGCTGCAGAATTCTGAGTAGAGTTTCAAAGATCAGAGTTAAAGAGGAACCTTGTAATTGCAGGCTGTTAGTTTGTAATTTCAGAAAGACAAGATAAAGAAAGACTTCACTGTAACCTTTAAGTACACATAGAAGTAAAGGAATTTGATAGCAATAGGGTCTTTAGCCTGAGATCCGAAGGCTTAACGAGATCTTTAGTCTGAGATTCAAAGATTTTGACTTGAAACCCAACACATTCAAGTTAGAAGTGGCATTCATTTTTAAAAGGATAAGGTGTTTATTGGAATAAACCCAGATTTGTGTTGCACTCATGGAAATTTTTAAATCAAACAGATTCTCATCAAATTTAAAATTTATCATTTATTTATGGCATTATTATGTTAGCAGAACTGTTATGTAGAGCATTAGATCATAGTGATTCCTTTTAGCCTCACAGTATGGGAATGCCTGAGGATCATGACAAAGAAAACAGCTCCATTGTAAGATATACATTACCTCTTTAGAAAGTAATTGCCATTCTGCTGAAAGCTCCTTCTTAAATTGCCATAATTGCTGGGGCTCTTTCACCTATACATTTACCTGTACCAGATGGTCTCTTCTATCTTTTGTACCTTCATCTCCTCATCTGTAAATCTGGTGTTGCCTCCCTTACCTATAGCCAAGTCTTGCCTAATCTTTCTTCCTAAGCAGTCTAATGCCTTTCTGTATTTGTTTTTGAAGTGCTATGCAAATTAGGAATTTCCCTAAACTTTGACTACTATTATTAATCCCTACAAGTCCAAGAGCCCAGAAGCTGTTACTTCTGAAGTTTAGATTTTAGATTTTTTTGTCATTTGAGCACTATATTAACATACCAACTCTTCTCCTCATTTGTCTATAATATCTTTCTTAATTTCTAATTTGATACCTTTAATTCTGGTATTATCTTTATAGTCCTATACTGTGAGGTTTTTTCAATCATATAATGTTTCTTCTCTATTTCCTCCATTATATATAATTTTTTCTCTCTTATTTGTCAGTAAAGTGTTACTATTCTCGCCCCTCTTTTTGTTTTTTTTTGTTTGTTTGTTTGTTTGTTTGTTTGTTTGTTTTGTCTTGTTTTACTTCCCCCCATCCAGTTCCATTGCTAGTTGCTTATGCAATAAAGGAGAATTTCACGTAACTTAAGTCTTGACAATTTAGACAACAGGTCCAGAGTGGTTACCTACTCTTCATCTATGTTCTGTGGATAGAAGTAGACACTTGAGATGACAACACATCCTGTCATCTGAGAGGTATTCAATGTGGGTGGGATTAATTACCTGCTGGAACTGCCCAATTCTTTTCTTTTTAGCTGCACAAATAGCCTAGGTACATCCCTTCCTGGTATCTGCAAATGAGAGCTGATTGGAATTAAAGAACCTGTTCTCTGAGGACAGAGATCACCACATATCACTTCATTTTACAGTGAAAAAGTTAGAGAAAATACTGATCACATCATTTTTGCAGTTGTAGGGAGTGCTGAAAAGTACAAAGGTGTTGAACAGTGGAATATCCTCTGTCAAAGGATAAAACAGTTTTCAGCACAGTGAGACTTCTGTAAAACTACAGATAAAAACTAATGATTCATAAGGCAATTTACTTGTATGAGTGGCATTTTTCAAAAGTATTTGGCAGGTGTAAAATTAAAACAATGCAGAAGTTGGATGTTATATTTTCTAACTTTTTTATTATTTCTAGGTACTAGAGAAAATGCTAGTGTTGAAGAAACCTTGAAAACATTGTGGTCTCTGATTGAATTAAATTTTGAACAGTGTGCTGTAATGTTGTTAAGGTAATTGTGCAATGAATAAAACTATTCAATTGCAGGCAGTAACATAGAATTGTCATAAATTGCTATTTCACAAAATAAACATGGTAAGAGCATTATTAGGTTTAAAATTGCCAAACCCTCTTGGAAGAGATGAGATGTTTTTAGTGAAGATATGCTATGCTTTATTCTGTGTACCCTACATGAGTAAAATCTAATTTTTAGATATGTTACGGATTTTTTTCCTACAACTTGACCTACAATATTACCTTTTTCCTGTAGGGTGTTTCATAAGTATAGATCTGATACTGATTCCTTAGTTAAGCAGTTAGCTAGTTAGTTAGTTTTTTAAAGAAGCATTTCGATTCGTGCTATCTACTCAGGAATCCTGGTTGACATTAGAAAGGGAATAACTATACTGTTTAATTTTAACACAGTTTATTATATAGTCAGAGGACTTTTTGTTGCACTTGCTTGAAGCAAAGTAGATGTATTTCTAGGTAGATGCTTTCCCTGGTATTTTATTACAGCTTTTGCAAAGATGGTTATTCCAATTTCAGTCATGTTCATTAAGTCATTTGAAGCATGACACTTTTTGATGATCACACTCGTTCAGAAATCTCTCTGCTAGTGTTCCCACAACTGATCTAGCAGTAGATCAGTTCTTCCAGGGGTAAGGAGTGTGAACTAACAGTAATTACTACCTGTAAGTATAAATTCTTACTCCCTATAACCAGGAACTTGAGCAGCATTCATATCAGGTATGATTTAATTTTACTTTTTAGTGTTTCTAACCCTGTAAAACCTTTGTACGTTGATGGTATCAGTACTTTGCAACCCCAGCCTTGTTCCAAATATTGGACTTCCATTTTAGATTTGCAGCACCTCTAAATCAGCAAATTGGATTCAGTTTTTAGTCTGCCTTCAGACTTTTAAAACTTATGCGGCTGGTTCATAGGCATAGGCATTGTACCAAGGGATACATTTGGGTGTTAAAATCATGCTAATGTACTTGTGCTTGATTTTTTTTTAAAATCTGACAGAATTGCATTGAATATAACAAGCTAGCCCCTTGGCCAATATGTTTTCCTTTAATCCCTTTCTTGTTCAAAAAAGCTTTAAAATTAAATAAAGGGGTTTTTAATCTCCTAATGATGCCACAGCTTGAAGATCATAGCTTAATATAACAACAGTTATGCTAACTGTTATCTATTTAAAAAAAAAAGAGGTAAAGTTTTGTAGAAGCCATAACATTTTGGGCTATTAAAAGCAGCTGTAGTCATGGATAGACTGATGGAGAGAAATATGTGTGTTTGCTATTATCTCTGAAAGAGCTGATCCCTAGGTGATTTTTTTCCAGAGAACAGCTACTAGAGAAACATTTTTATATTGTTGTTTTACATTCATGCACAAGGCAGTGTTATTCATTATTAGAATAAGTAAAAGTCAGGATATATGTGCCTTCCTGATTAGATTAAAATATTTGTTTCCTGCTTTCCAGAGAAATGTTTAAAAGAAACTTTAAGTCAATTGAAAAGTTTCCTTGTTATGAAGATGAATGGTGTAAAATGTCTTTTGCTGACTATGATGTAACGTGTGCTGATCACCCACCACATGTGTGGTTTTTGGTTTTCAGGTGAGTTTCATACAGCCCTATATAACTATTATGGGAAAGTAGTATTGATACGCTGTGTTTTTTCATTAACCTGCTTAAAAACTTACTTTTATCTACCTGCTTTTTCTAAATTCTGATGTATACTTGTCCTGTTTTCAGCTGGAGCAGAGTTCATTTTCTTGTTCATTTTTTCCTCATTTTCTTCCTAGTAGCGGGCACAGTGCTGTGTGTTTGGATTTAGATTGGGAATAATGTTGATAACACATTGATGTTTTGTCTGTTGCTGAGTAGTGCTTACCCCAAGTCAAGAACTTTCCAATGTCTCACACTCTGGCAGTGGGAAGATGCATAAAAATCTGGTAGAGAGCATGGCCAGGACAGCTGTGCTGAACTGGCCAAAGGGATGTCCCATACCACAGCACAGCATGCTTAGTGTATAAACTGGGGGGGAATTACCTGGATGGGGGCCGATCATCACTGGGGAGCAAGCATCAGTCAGTGCGAACAGTTGTATTGTGCATCCCTTGTTTCTCTTGGTTTCTGTTTATTCTCTCTTCTTCTCCATATAATTAAAATTATTAATATTATTAGTATATTTATTATTATAATTTGTTTCAATTATTACATTTTTCTTAACACACAAGGTTTACCTTTCCTTTCTGATTCTTCTCCCTGGGGTAGGGTGGGTGGGAGGAGTGAGCAAGTGACTGTGTGGTACTTAATTGCTGGATGGGGTTAAACCATGACAATACTTTTGCTCTGTGTTACACAAATCCTTGGAGCCCCTGGTGGTCCAGTGGTAAAGGCGCCGCGCTATCACCGCAGAGACCCGGGTTCGATTCCCGGTCAGGGCCACTCCCGGGCAGGTGGGGCTCGTCAGCCCTTAAAGGCAACCCACCTACGTCCTAAGGACCTCACTGCCACCGTCCAAGCTCGCTTGGCCCCGGCAGATGAACCTTAGGATTAAAGGGTGGGCTCAGTTCCGCGCACACTGTGTCTCACCTAAAAAATCCAATGCGCAGGCTGGAAGGTGGAAAGACCTTCCCCGGATCTTCGCTCGCGAAGACTGGCCATTATTTATTACACAAATCCTTTTATTTGTGAAAATAATTTTGATACAATTTGAATTTTTTTTTTTAGAGAAATATTTATTGTTCCAGAAGACATGCTTATAGTGACAAAGGTGTATACCACTATCCCTTCTTGCAGACTTCGTGTTGTTGATAATGACACACTGGAGGAAATGACACATGTCTTTTTCGAAGTGGTACCTCAGGTTTATCCCAAAAATGAGGTAAATGCAAAGAATTGTTGGGAAAAGTATAGTTTTAAAAATAATAAGTGCCCAAATTCTGTGAGCATTTTTAGCTACGTCATAGTGTTCTGCTTAAAAGTGCATCCTTATTTATTAGCTAGTTTGAACAGGAATTATCACTAATTTGCTTCTGTGCTAAACCTTTTATAGTGAAGGAATAACCTTAATTTTCTTTGATATTTTTTGCTGTTGCTAAATGGAGAAATATCATTTGGTTCCCTGTGCTGTACATTCTGTGGCAATATGATTGATGTTAATGCTGTGCATCTGAAAGAACAACCTTCAAGAGTTAAGGGTCAAACTAAAAATCAAGTTTAAATAGCCTTTTACAAATCATTTCTACAAAAATTAGCATGCATGTTCAGATGCTAAGGGTAACTGCAGCATTGATGCCAAATACAGCTATTGACATGATGGTCCTCCCCGTCCTTCCCCACCCCCTCCCACCTAGTCCTGCATGTTACCTTGGAAGTATTGGTGTAAATTACTTCTAAAAAATCCTCTATATTGTTAAATAATTATTACAGTTTCCCATCCTCCTGCCTTTTGACCTTTAGGCTAAAGAAGACACTCTTGTCAATCTTACCTCAGAGTTATATGTTCTATACTCTTGATTACTCTCTCCTCTGGACTCTTTCCAACTGCTGTTATTTGAGGTTTTTTCCTTGTTTGTCATGCATAACACTGAGCACAGTAAACTTTATTCCAGCATTTAACTTGTGGCCATACAAATGGTGAGTAAGGAATGTTAAGTTTACATCTTGTAGGCTTTACTTTTGCTTATATAACCAACTTGGTTGCCCTATTTTGCAGTGCTGTTCCATGTACTTCTGTACTTCTGTAACCCTGGTGCTTTCCTGGAGAACTGAATCCTATACTTTGTTATTCTTGAGTAAATATAGTGTATTTCACTACTGATTTTAATGCTGTTTTTTCAGACCATTTCCCCAGTCTAAAATAATCTTTAATTCTAATTTTCTCTTCCTCTAAAGCTATCATACTTCCTAGTTTGTGGTATCAGCTGATTAAGCATATGTTTTCTCCATTCCCTCATCTAAATAAACATATATTTTTAATAAAAAATTTTGAATGGAATCAGGTTCAGGTTAGATCTTTGAAATCTCACTGGTTGCATCCTTCTCTTCCCAAAGTAGCCATGAATATGTGCTTTCTGGATATGATTGTCCAACACCCTAATTTCTTCATTATGACAGCATTTCCTTCAGCTTAGAAGAATGATCAAAGAGACAGTGTCAGATGTCTCCTTCTTTCTCATACTGTGCCTTCCTAAAAAGAGAATCTTGATTGGATTGACAGGACTTATTCTTTACAGCCCTTTTGCTATGTTGAGGGGGTTGCAAGGAGTTAATTTTCCTAGTTATTTCATGATGCTTTCAGCCTTCGGAGTTATACTGACTCATAATTTTCCAGACATCTAGGTCCATCTTAAAAAAACAACATTACACTACTATAGTCTTCCAGTACCTTAGTGTCCTCTATCAATTAGCAAACATAATTTGAAAGTTTAATGATTGTTGTAGTCTGTTATTGAATTGTCCTTCAGACAGTTTAGAATTTCATCAGACCTAACTAGTCCAAACTCTTAATTTACCTATATTATCATTTACTACTTCATTTCCTATTCTGACCTCCTCTTATCTCTGAAATATTACACCAGTATTAGCTATTCTTGTCACATGTTCACAGTTGATCTTTTAGTGAAGACACATTCCATTCACATTTTAGCCCTCTCAGTCTCATCTGTCAATACCGAAGAATTGATTTCATTTACAATCTAACACTATAGAAGCAGATTTCTTGTCTTTTTTTTGTAACTTCAAATTTCATTAGACTTTTTTTTTTCTTTAGAATGAACTTGCCTTATCTAGTGTTTATAGTGAATATTAGCTGAATGTGACAGATAAGGACTGCTACTGCTGGAGGACAGTGCTTTAAAAAGAAGGGTTGCAGACAAGCTCTTGAAGCTCTCAAAACTAATTGGGATCCTCAGAAATGGTTTGTGGATTCCACCAGACAGGGAAATTTAGGTTGGAATCTGACAGTGGCAAGTGGCAGGATGCAAAAAGAAATATCAGTGGTGAATACTGATTACTGCTTTTCAGGAAAGTGACAGGTTGCATAAAGAACAATCACAACTCGAGATTTATTTCAGATCCTGCTTAGCAAGACACAACTGTCTGGTTCTGCCCTGCAAGGCAGATTTTCCATTTCCCTGATTTCACTAATTCTTTCTCAGACCCTCTTCCATTTAATTTATCTTTATTGAAGGAAGATGTCCAGAATCTTAAACATTATTCCAAACAAAATCTTACCAACGCTTTGTGCAGTACAGTGTTTTTTGTGTTGGAAATGCTTGGGGTTTTATGTCCTACCTGAATAGATACATTCTGTAATATTTTTTTTTTCCTGGGGTACAGCACAATAGCCTCAGTGATTCTGTTGATGATTAGTGAAAATGGCCCTTTTTATTTTATTCCTGTGCTTCCCTATTGAAGTCCTCTCTTAAAGCAGAAATTTCTCTTATTATTTGCTAAACTAATGGCTTAATGTTTCATAATATTAAATGTGGTTAATATCAGTAAAGAGTGATTTTAAGAGTATTAAAACACAATTGTGCAGACATGCTGTATTTTCTACTTTTCTTACTACATTTGTCAATCACTGCTCTTGAGTTCCTCAATAAGAATATAACCTTATACTCTGCAATTTAGCCTTTTTTCTTCCTGTTTATAAATAGTTCATTAATGTTTCAGTGGACCTGTCCAAGCTATTGGAAGCTCTATTGATGTTTTGACAACACATTTTGCAATTATTATTAAACAGAGAATACAGCTGTATTATTTTAATCTGACTGTTACCTTTCATTATAAAAATATTTTGTAAAAAGCAGTCAACAATGTAATACATCAAGCAAGAAATTATATGGTTTGCCTGAATTCCTAAATATCAGTATTACAGAAAAAGTCCTTTTTTTTTTTTTTAAAACACCTCCCAGTTAGTTTTTCTGCTTCAAAAATATGACTCAGCAATTTACAACAGAGCTAAAAAGAAATCCTGTCAACAGATACTTTTATTCTCCCGCAGAGACACTTCTGGAACACATTAAAGTTCATTTCAGAATAATTGACAATAAAGATAAAATCTGCACTCTAACAATAAAGTCTGTTGTCATTTTGCAGACGTTACAGTCTAGATAGAAACTGCCTACTTGTTTTGCATTATTTGGATGTTTTGGTTTTGCATTAAATTTTCTTCTTCTGTGGGTTTTTTTTTTCTCCTGATGGATCAAGTTTTGTGGGGTTTTTGGTTCTTTTGTTTTCAAATTCTACTCCCTTTATTTTTCACAAGTCTTTCAAACAAACTGTAGAAAAGCCAACATATTTAGTCTGGAAAAAAAAGAAGTCTGTTTGAGCAAGGACACTGTTCAGTTGTTTGTCTTGACTAGTCATAGAATGATATAAAGGAATCATCTTACTTTGCCAAAAATTTAGTTTAGATGGTATATTAGAAAACAATCCTTTCTGATTCTACAGACGATGAAATGTAACAAGATATCTAAGTGGGTAATGACACCTCTCAAAAATTTTTTAAGAGGCAGACATAAATCTTATGGGATTGTCCAGATCTTCGCTCATTTCTCAGTAGTGACTGATGATTACTTGGTGTTCCTACCAGCTGCAAAATTCAGTTATTGTACTTTCTAATTGCTCATGGTGTTCAGAAAGCATTCACTCAAGCAGTTTTTTGGTCTTAAGTCTAAATTTTGTGCATATTTTTAGTGAACATTAAAATTGTATAACTTTATCCTTATAAATAGTCATACAAGAGAAAGAGTTTTTCTCATGCACCCCATGCTGTCAGAAAGCACTTGAATATCTGGCTGAATCCCTCTCAGTTTCCAAATATGCTTGTTAAGAACAGGAGGGCCTGTAACTATATGCTTAACTAGATATTTAAATAAGTGAGTTCTTCTGAATCCTAACTTTGAGAGGGTGCTATTACCTTGTGGTGATGAAAGGTTGTAAAGAGCCTTATAGTTACAATTCCACAAACTGGAATCATGAATAATTTATTTTATTTTCATTCTAAGTATTTCTGAAGTCCTGAGTCACATAAAGCCCTACATTATTGGGTAGTTCTGAAATCACAACCCATGTATTATAAGGATTTTTCAACAAAGCTGTTTTTGCTTTTAAATACTATTTTATTTAAACTGAAATTTAGCAGAAGACTGAAAGAGTTAAAAACTTTCAAAGAATTTTTGGACTGGAACATCTGGACTATTTCTTGAGTGGAACATTAAGTTTTAATGTTTGAAACAGAGAGTTAGTTAGAGCTATCTTAGAGAATATGAAGAAGGGACTTAATCCTGAGTTCCCCTGTAACACTACAACTGGCCATTGCACTCCTTATGTCCCTTTTTCTTACCTCTGCCTTTTAAGTAATCACATTCATATTGCCTTCCATTTTACAAATAAAAATTAATCAAATTTTAAAAATTTTTAAGCTTTACTCTGGTTCCTCATATTCCTATTCTCAGGATTTGTAAAGAGCACATAAATCAGCACCAGGCTTATTAATTGTGTGTTTCATTTTTATTAATTTGTTCCTTGAATTTTCTAATACTAGAAATATTTTCTCTTAAATCAACATCTTCATAAAAATAAGATTAATATATTGTAATTTCATGCTGTACTTGCAATTGCATTATTAAAACTAGGTGCAATATTAATTTAACCTCAAATTTGAAGACAGAAGTAATCTGGTCTCTAAATTTCCATGCAGCAAGCTCATCCACCTATACTTTCACACTGCCTAAAGCATATAGGAGCATCTTAAATCATCAAATAATTTGGTTACAAAGTGACTTCAGGATTTGATTGTACCTGCCCCTAAAAATACCTGCCAGCTTTGAAGTTAAATTAAATTGAATTTTACTTGCTATGTAACTTTTTACCAAATATAAATTGCTATAATAAGAGATGCATCATAAATTGGAATAGAATAGAATTTTAAGATTCTTGCTTATGAAGGACATCTTATTCTATTACTAAGTGTAACATGGACAGAAAGTGTGTTGCATGTAGTCATAGAGTGCATTTTAGTAGTTTTATTACCAAGTAAAAATTACTTGTTTTCCCCTTTCAGAAAGGATACACTTTTATGGCTGAAGCACACACTGATGACCAACCTGTGACAGCTGGAAAATGGAAGCTCAGGCTCATGAGTTCTCATAGTCCACTTCCATTTCTCTCTCGTGAGGCTGTAAAAAATGTCTATTCTACTAGATTGTTTAAAGGGCATTACATACCCAACAAAGAGAATATAATGTTTAGGTAAATATTGAGAGGAGAATAATTAAATTATTTTTAATATGGGTCAACCTTGACAGAAAAGTATGTATGTTCTTTCCTTTTTCTTAGAAGGGGAGAGTATTGAGGCCAATATCTAAATTTTATGGACTATCAAATTTAACATTTGGTTTGTGAAAGTGTTATTTTCTGAAATATTGCCACTGCTTAATGAAGAACAGGCATGAAGTGCACAGACTGTAACTTCAAAATAATAACAATACTTTGCATTTCTGAAAGCTCGATCCTATCCATGTGCCAATCATTGGAATTCTGTAGTACTTTGGGGGATAAAAAATGTATTAAAATGAAGATTTTGCAGATGGAGACGAAACACAAAGTTTGATACATTTTTTTTTCAGCTATTCTGATAAAGCTTTAAATAATACAGGAATGCAACATTTTCTTTCCTGATATGTCAGACCAATTTCCATCTTGCAGGGTTGGTAGAAAAATTTACATACATTTTATTTTAGCATCCTGATTCTTTTAGGAGAATATAGTTAATAAAAATGTGATTTAGTTTTTATTAATCCTTTTTCAATTGATTAAAGTTTATTAAAATACGTTCTGTCTGATTAACTTCAGAACTGTCCCTTACTAAATCACTATACTGAAGTTTACACAAAGGAGTACACACTGTACTAAAACAGGCCCTGTGCTTAGAGCTGATTAAATGTATATATTCTGAAGGTTGATTCTAGAACATTTTACCTTGATTCCTGAAAGTTTGTTTCAATATTTCAAACCAGTGGATTATTCTTGGGATAAATGTCTATTCAACAGAGGAATCAGTTTCAATACAAATAGAAAAAGAGTGTAATGGAAACATAACAAAGGGACTCAAATTTTGTAAACTCTCTCTTTCTTGATGATTTTTTTTCCTTTCTCCTTTCCTTTCTCTGATGTTACCAATCTTTAAAAAAAAAAAAATTATTTTAAGATAGTTACATATTTTTGGCTCCAAATGTGCTGAAGTCGGGGTGATGTAGTATTTTGGGTTGTCATTTCTTTGCTTGATTGATGAGATTAGTCTAACAATTTGTATTTATGGACAAACAGCAAATAATATGTAAAGTAGTAAGCCATGGAAAAGCAATTATTTAAATTTTGTCCTCAGACTCTAATTCTACAGTCTTTTAATGCAACAGTATTTTAAGTTGACCAGAGTAGCAGCTACTATCAGATGAGATAACCCTACCCTTTTGAAAGCAAATCATTCTTTTTTTTCCACTCAGGTACTTTTTAAATGATACTGTTCCCTGATCTGGCTAAGAATATTATTCTACAAATACTAATGCAGCAGGAGGTAAAATGTGTATTTGGACTTTTAATAAGGCAGTGAAAAAAATAAATGGCTAGACCACTCCTTTTTTGCAGAAGCAGCACTTACTTTGTATGTGGATTCACTGCACTAAACTTCACTAGAGGAAGCTTAGCCCACGAGATTCCAAGAAAACAGTTGACTACAAACTCAATTTTAAGTGTTTGCTTCCAGTTTGACACAACATTTAGGTCCTTTTCCTAAAAAAAAAAAAAAAAAAAAAAGTCATGTATAGTTGGTTATATTGCTGTAATTTTTTTCTTTCTATTTAGGTATTTAGTAAAAGTCAAAGCACCACATACTGTTACAGTGCATGTACAAACCTCTAAATCAGATGTGTTCATTAAACTGCAAGTCCTAGATAATGAGGAAGAAATTATAAGTGTCGCTGGAAAAGGCCATGCAGTCATCCCTGTTTTTAATTTCCTCAGTAATGAATCACCTTTGAGCTCCCACTGTAAGTATTGCATTCTGTATTGGATAATTTTATTCGCTGTGGAATATGTATTCTTACAATAATTTTAGCTAATCATAGAAAATACTATTTTTCCTGCTCTTTTCATAAAACCCTAATTGCTATTGTTTGGTAAAATTGGGGATGGGCTGCTAAAGAAGCTAAAACAAAACTGGAATGAAAATTTTGTCATCTGGAAGTACTCTCAGCCAGTTGATTGACCTTAGATTTTGAAGTGCTCTTTAACTTTACTGTTCAAAGCCGATAAATGCCGTTGAATGGGGTACATAATTCTTAAGACTAATTTTCAACAGTTGTCCCTGTAGTGCTCAGGTAATTTTAAAACAAAAATTAAGTACCATCTACCTGCCTCCATTCCACTTCTTATGTGTAATAGATTTTAGAGGCTACTGCCGTCTTCTTTCATAATCTGCATTTGATTTCCTGTTTTCTACACACCTCACTTTTTAATCAAACTATTTACATTTTATTTGTATACTATTTTGAATTATTCATTTTTTTTTTATTTTGAAAATTATTTCTTCATAAGAATTATAAATTTTCTTAAATAAAACAGATGTTTATAAGCAAACAAGTCAGTTATTTTACCCTTCATGGACACTACTGTACATAAGAGAAAAGAAATATTAAAGTCTTCAGTCCTTTTATGTAGACTTTTGAACAATAACTGTTTTGTAAATCTGAGTTTCTGCCTGTTTGAGCATATTGAGAACCTGAGGCAAAGACAAGTTGTTCAAATACTGGATCATTGCTTTGATAAAGCCCCAGTAGAATTATACTTCATGTGCTCACCTCCACTGCTTTGAACCATGTTTTCAATCATGATCCTTTAGAATAATGTCCTCTATGAAACTTCAGTGCTGTATGGGAAAAATAATAAAAAACAATCTACGATTTTATACTGTATTTGAAGGAGAAATGAATATTCTGATGCACCTTAAGTGTGTCTGAGTATATATAGGGAGTTGCTGTTTGGAAGGAATGACTGTGAAGCTGGGTTTTTTTAGTATTACAAGTATTTTTACAGTACTAGATCAAGTAGCCTTAACAATGAAGTTCTTTTCTTTAAGTATTTATCCTGTCTATCACAAAGAAGCTATTTTGTGTAAAATCTTTCAGAACATCTTAACTAAACAAAAGTATAATGAAATGTACTCATTATAACCAATACTACTGAGTGTCTGTAGGTTTAGTAGTGGTTCAGTTTATGGCATTATACAAACATGTTTCTTTGCTGTTGTCATAAGTGGTGTTAAGGCATGTACAAAACAATATAGGAACACTCAGAAATACTGATGCCAAGTTCAGGTGGACAGTTGTACAACTAACAATCAATACAACAAAATTCACACTGTCAGTAACTCATTGTCCTCTAAAACAGTGTATTTTGTCAGAATAGGAGTAATCAGAAAACACTACTATACCATCAGCATCAAATTTGTTAGTTAAGCCAGTTGCAATCCTTAAATTTGAAACTTATTCACTACCACAAATGTTCTACCTCTCATAGAATTGATTGCTGTGTTGCTAGAAGTACTAAGTGACAATTTTTTGCAAACATTACCAATAAAACATTATCTCCCTTGCCCACCCACTGCCTATTAATTCAGCTCCAGTCACAGCTGTTCTATAAATCTTTTGCAGTTCAAAAACTACATTAAACTGGTTGATTTTAAATATATTTACCTCTTCTGAGGTGTAGCACCTGACTTGGACCTCGAATATTTGCTTGCCAATAAAGGAGTTACATATTGACACACACATTGCAAGCACAGTTTGGTTTGTAGATACATCAGTTCTGTAAGCACAGATGGGCAAGTGAATGCTCATAATCCTTTTATTTTCCACAGTAACAGTATGTTGCAATCCTGTTGCAAAGTATCTTTCAGATATTTGTTTGAATCTGGAAGCAAGGTAGATAGGAGTTCCTTCTAGTCAGAGTTTTGCATAGGAAAACCAAGACTGAATATTTTTATTTGTAGTAAGAAAAGTAATTTGGTGTCCCAGCACCACCTGGTGACCATTGCTAGAACTGCTGGGTATGTGTGTATTTTTGTGAGCTTTTCCAAGTCATCTTTCCAGTAAGGAAAGCAGAATGGCGGTGTCCATCAATCTGAGCTGATTTGCTTTCATGGCACAATCATCCTCTAGGCAAACCATTATAGAATTTTTCAATACTAAAGCTCTTCAGGTTGAGGAGAAAGAGAAGAGGAGGAGAGTGAGGCAGTTGTAGCCTAAGGACCACAACCTCCCTAGGAAACCATGTACCTTGATAGGTAGAGATAAGCTCCTTCAGAGGGCAGTGCACATCTAAAGCCCAAGCTCCAGAGCTCCTGGAGGGGAGCTCACCTCTCTGTTGACTTCAAGAATGAGTGCATTTAGTTGGCCTTACTGCTTTTAAAGCTATCTTTTTTGTAAATTACTTGCACTGGCCCTTGCTAACAGCCCTCAGATAGGCATTTGAAGATCCTTCCTGACTAGAAACTTTTGTGCGAATATTGCAGATGGTAACCTAAAGGCAGTTTGCCTAATTAGAAAATGTCTTCATGTAGTTTTTCTTCCATTTGGAATACAAATTGTGTCTTTGCAGCAGGTTTGCACTCAGATGTAGAAAAATATTCAAGATTCTGGTATTTGGATAATGTTTCTTATTCATCCAAATGAATAAGAAAATCAAGTATTATCTTCCTTCAGGTTTCTCTCACAGGCCTCCTTACCACAGGGACAGCAAGAGGGATATCTCAGGTGCTAAAGATTCTGAGTGTAATGCAGGAGAGCAGTTATGATTGGGAGTTTGAGACCTCTTGAAGAAAGCATCTCTGCTAGGACTTGTTTTCATTTCCTGACTTCTACTGATTTCTTAGGAGTGAGGAAGCATTGGCTTATGCAGAGGATAGATGCAATAGGAAGTAATCCATGACATTTGACTTTTATAAGAAATTATATTTCCTGACTCCCATTGAATTTCTAATGGCATACTTAACCTCTTATTTGGTATCTATGCACTGACACACCACCAGTTAATTTTGCTGAATCTGGACTAAAATCCCATCACCTTCTGTGAATTTCCCTGGACGTTTTGTCAACACACATGACACTGTGCATTGTGCTTTTCAAGTGTTGCAATAATGCAGTTATCATCCTTTGCTTCTACTGTAAACATTGGGGAGAGTAAAGCCTTTTGTCCTCAGTGAAATCAAAATGTATCTCTTTCCCAGTTGATGGTGCAGCTGTTGTTAGTGTAACACGGGAAACTGCTTCCCCAGAGGTGGTAATTTCTGTTCTTATTCAATTTTTCTAAGAGATGTTCACTTTTAGAATTCTCTTTCCTTTCTCTGTAGACATGCAGGCAAGAGCGTATCACAAATTTCAGTGGCATTAGAAATTAAAACAAATTTATGGTTTCTGGATTAATACTTCTGTGAGAGACCTTCTTTAGAACATTCCTCGTTTCACAATTTTTCCACATAAACATGTTCCTTAGGTGACAATAACTTCATAAATTATAGACTACAAATAATTCTATACCTCCTTTCAAGACTAGCTTTTTCTAAACTTAAGTCAGCTATGGTCTTTGTGTCAGTTTGGCACAAAAGTCACTTGTGTCAGTTTGACACAAAGAGACTTGATAAAGACTTCTGCAAGGATAGGAGTTGCCAGAACTGTGGTGAGTGCACCTCTCCCCTCCATCCACAGTTGTACACAATTTTTTAAATTAGGTTATCCACATGGAGACCCCATCATGCAGCGTACAAGGTTATCTATTTTCTCTAATGGTGCTGTGGTGGTTAGTGCAGGAAAGAAGGGTGAGGTTAGAGGGAAAAAAAACACACTTTATGAACAGTAACAATAGCTATATATACACAATCCTTCAAATTTCTCATTATTTACTTTGAAGAGATTTGTGATTTGCATGCAAAATGAAATAAGTGTACTATTTGGAATAATTTTAATTAGAAGCTTGTGAGTATAATACAGTGTGAGAAAATTGACTATACTAATTCTTTCTCTTACTTTCTGGGGGCATGTATTTGCCTCATACCAATAATTTATAGAGTTTCTGTTTGGGTGGTTTTTGTTTGGTTTTTTTTTTTTTTCTGTCATTTTGCAGCAAAAATCTCACAGATTGTTCAAAGCAGTACAAAGAAGGAATCAGAAACCGGACATTCAAAAAAAAAAAGTCGTGATTCAATTTCAAAGGACAGAAAAACTTCTTCCAAGCCAGAACTTATACAAGAAGGTTCACCTATGTCAATAGATGAATCTTTGGAAATGATAGATGAAAGTTTGGAAAACTTTCAAAATTCTGTTGGAAGTCCACAACAAGTAAGAGATTACAAATCACTGGGATTTGGGGAGGGGCAGGGGTAAACCAGAAAAAAAACAAACATGATGAAGGAGTATTGTTAATTCTTTTGGTACATATGAAGATCTTATATCCTGAGGCAAGAACAAGAAACCAAAATTAACTGTTGGTAGCTTTTGAATGAGGCAATGAAAAAAAGGATAATGTACATGTGTGAATGACAAAATAAGAAGGGAGTTTCATATGAAGGGGATATATTTTGTATTTACATGTTCTTCATTTGACAAATCCAGTTCAAGTGCAGCATAACTTTCAGCTAAGGACAAAAAACTGCCAGAAAGTAAGTTAAACTTCAGATGCTTCAGTGTGAAATTTCTTTATGTTGTAAGAGAAGGCCATCATTAATAGTTTTCATAGAGAGACACTTATTTTCAGTCATCTAAAACCTTTACTAAAAGACACGCAATATCTGCTACTCGAGCCAAGTTTCTCATAAAGTAATGTCAATGCCTTGGATTTTTCTTGATGTCAGTTAGTATTATTTATCTATTTTAGAAAAATAATCTAGAGCAGTTCTTGTTTCTCTATCTCCAAGCGTTTCTGTGCTGCAGTTTTTCTTCGCAGTTGACTTCAATTGCTACAAAACATTCCAAGAAAACCAGGATTGTTCCTTTGACTCAGAACTGGCTTTAGAATTTGGAAAACAATTTTTAAATATAGCTATTTCCTGTTCAGTTTAGACAATGTTTAAAACAACCCATGGACCCTGTCACCTCTTCCTCAGATTAAGACATCATTGAGTGCTAGTATTAGGGCTCAAAGCCCTGTAGTAGGTCTTAACATTGACAAAAGTCTTTGTTTTGGTACATGGCATACATAGGAAAGTTACATTGAAATCTTAAAGGAATGTAGCTTCTTATTGTATAACCCAGTTTAGTTTCGTGTGATAAACACATGAGTAATTGTTTGATTTCACAGGAATTAAAATAAAGTCTGTGGAATTAACACTAATTTTTTAAGCTTCTTGGGAAAGCTTTTATGTGCAAGCTTGTAAATTAATTATGTGTTTTATTTGCTGGATTCAATAGCTGGCAGTTTGCTAACCTACAGGACTTGAACGCTTGCTGTACTTGTTATGTCTGCAGCATGTTGCATTTTCTTTCACAGTCTCACAAGTACATGATTCAGGCAGTAGTGTTGTATGAGAGTTGGCCAATTCCCGAGGATCAGTCTCTGTCTCTTCAGGAACTGAAGGAAGAGGAGAATGATGAAATCAAAGGTACATTGATCTAATTACATATTTTTTCAAGTGCATCATGTTACTGATATTTAAAAAAACCCCACGTATTGCTAGAAGCAACATTTTTTCATTTATTCGTTGCTTTTAGTGAAATAATTAGGCAACAAAGCGTTTTGTTCTGTGGGTCTTAGAAATGAACTTCGATTGCCTGAATCTACATCTTCAGTTCACAAATCATAAAGAAATCAGAGAATGCACTGCAAAACTCATCTGAGCTTCTGAGGGCTCATCTTTACGCAGAGATCTAGAACAGTTCTAGAAGTATGACTGTTTTTACAGTCAGAGCGACTGATGAAGTCCCAACGCCCTGACAAAGTATATCCAAACATAGAAATTTCTACTGAAACTACAGAAACGTGCCTACTGGTAATTTAAGAAAATACACTGACAAGAGGGGGGGGAAAAGGCCTGGTTTGGGATATGTATTGCTTGCTTCTGCACTGCTAGGAGAAGAATTTATCAGGGGAAAGATTAGGAGAGGTCCCAAGTACAGTCTGTATATTCAAGCCAGGAAAGGGACAGAGAAATTATAGAAGCTTTTCTTTTTCTTTTTTTTTTCCAGATTCTCTTAGCATTTCTTGTTAAGGGACAGAAAAAATCAAACCCAAGACATATTAAAAGCAGTTAGAATACTAGTCAGTATCCTATAAATTAGATAAATGTCTCATATTTGCTTCTTTTAACACTGGGGTCAACATGGAGTTATTTAGATCTTTATTATGTTAAAGTTTATCATGCTGGATCCAACAGCCTGAGAGAGGGAAGGCTGCTACCACTGCACACCCCCAGCTCCAACTATTAGTGAGGCTAAAGATGTAGTCCCAACAAGCACATGCACACAGACACACATGCACACTGACACACATGCACACTATGTCTGTCTGTCTGTCTATCTATCTATCTATCTATGCATTGCCAGCTACACAGATCATAGACAGACAAAACACTCTCACAAACACAGACAGCACCAGCAACTTCATCTTCTGGCTAGAAAGAATGGAAGTTCACTAGAGAAACTATATATTTATATAGGGGTGGATCCTTCCACCAGCTGGACTTAGACACCTAGTCTGTGTAGTAGCTCACCCCTGTGTCCCCAATGAGGCAGCAGCCCTACTCCAGCTGCTGGTGCAGATCATCATGCACACACGCACACATGCAGCTGATTACTGTGTGCTCTCCCCCCTAGGTTCCTGCAGAACCTGAAATATTAATTTCCACCACTCAGTTCATTTCCTGTATCATTAATATTAAAGTTCTATAGCTCGATTTTTAAAATAAGCAATGAGCAATTAGCAGAAATTATTTGCATTATCCTTTCTCATACACATACACTTACTAAAATCCTTATATTTCTTTGAATGATTTGATCTTTATTTACTAGTGGTATATCTCACTTCTTACTCTAGTTACATATTTCTACTTAAATTTCTTTTTTGTTTGTTTGTTTTTTTTGTTTGTTGGTTTGGTTTTTTTTTTTTTTTTTTTTTTTTAAAAAAAAATTTATTTTTTATTTTTGTTTTTTTGTTTTTTGGGTGGAGGGTTGTTGGGTTTTTGGGGTTTTTTTTGGGTTTTTTTAATTTCTAGTACCCTGGACTGAAGTTAGATTCAGCAGCAGTAATTGCTGACATACGTTATATAACTTCTTTGATTTAGGATGTGTTTGAGATTTTTTCAGTCATTCTTCAGTTACCATTACACAACTTTACAAAGATGTATCTTGTTGATTTATCATAGTCCCAGTCAGTTTTAATAGTGTTTGAGGAGCTATGTCATGTAGCGTTACAGTCCTGTACACAGCTTTCTCGTGGTGATTTCACCTGCTTGTAGTTTGCTGTGTTTTTCACAAAATCGTCTTTTATTCCTAGATGATTCCGTTTATTCTCCTGAATTTCTCTTTAATGATAGACTGCTTCTTACAATACACATCCTATGACACGGTCTTTATCCTTTGGAGTCGGCTACATAATAACAGCTTGCACTTAAAACGCCAGTCATGCTACTGGTGTGTAGGCATGTTTCCATGTCTATAAAACTGCAGGTCAAAGGAAGTCACTTAATCTCTAAATTTCTTCACTACTCAGCTCATATTATTGAACTTTGTCCATGTCATCCTCATATTTAGTCCTAGGTAGCAGTATTCCAGTTTATAGCTTCCCTTTTCCATGTTAACTAATGCTCATTTGCAGTCAAATGTACTTAAGCCACAGTCAATGATAACAAGCACTTTTTGTCTTACAATTATTTTAAAGTGTAATTTCTGTGTCCTCTCATAATTGCTGTTTTTCAAAGTAAAAAAAGTCCATTTTACAGTTCTTATTAACTGGGTGTTTCTGTTTATACAAGAATACCAGCAGATTGCCCAGGCCATCAACAGAGTTTAAAAACAACTTATATCAAAAAGTTTAAACACTACCACTCAAAGTATTTACTGTTTGGTACTTATTTTACATACCCCTGTTAACAGTAATATTTATCTGGAGTGCGTACTATAGTTAAGCATTTTGGGGAAGAAACAAACATTTAATCTTTTTTCTGATTGTGAACTAGTCTTAAATCAATTTGAAAACTGAGCTTTACAAGTTAAATCTAACAGCACCAGTTGTTAAACACCCAATCCATATAATAGTAATGTTGACATGTAACCAAAAAGGTATCATCTCACCATGTGATTTTTAAGAAAGCTGCAGTGAGCCAGGTGAATAATTCCTGCAACAAATTTTCACCATTTCAAGTATCACTTTTTCACGTAAGGCAACAGGGCCATCTGGAGTTTATTTTGTATTAAAGCTAATTTATCATGGCAAAAGCATATTTCAACTTTATATTAACATTTACTGAAGTTCTCTGGCATACAGACGCTGTGATAATTTTGTATCTGTTGATGTTTGTACTTGTGAAAAGAACTGTGTTATTGTCTTAGTTTAATAAGACACAAATGTTTGCTAAGGCGGGCAGGTTAGGAAAAAAAGGAACCAAACTCATCCCTCTAAGTTATTGTAACTTTGAAATTAAGAGGCTTCGGGTGAAAAGGTGTGGAAAAGGAAAATAACAGCTCTTTTTTTATTTATATATATAACAAACCTGAACAAGAAACCACAACTTTCAGAACGAGTCCTACTTTCCCTCTCTGTGTAACCACCCCAAGCAGGGACCACTTGCACATTTTGGAAAGCAAAGGGTGCAGTGTCTCACTGGCAGGCAGCAGGGAGGTGTTAGCAGGCATCAGCAAGGTGGCAACCACTGTGGCTGTCCCATAACAGTCAGGGGCCCTCCGTGGGCCCACTCCTCCACTCCCAGAACCTCTCTGCAGTTTTCATTCCTTTCTCTCTGTTTTTGTTTGTTTTGGTTTGGTTTGGTTTTTGTCTTCCGTTGGGAATTTTTAATGCAGCAGCTCTTCAGTGGAAAAATAGTAAAAAATAAGTAAGGCTGGGGTCATAATTCTTGTGGAAAAGGGGAACAATTAGCAGGCAATCTTGCAACTGCTAGTACCATTTTAAGATCCTTGACTGTGTGAACAAAACCCTTTAAGATTCATTTTGTATATATGATTTTCAACTATTACTGTTTTGGGTTCTTTGGTTTTATTTTTCTCGTAGTAAGATCGTAAGTTTTTTTATGCAACTGTCCTAACCCCAAGTTGAATCATCATTGTGTGCTGAATGCTAACTGCAGTATGTGTTTTACATATTGCCTTAAATTAACTCAAGAGTATAAGTTGTTGTTGAGAGAAAGTTGTCATTCAACTAAGAAAGCAAGGGGAGATAGGGTGCCCAATCCAGGCAGTAGAGATGGATTTGAAAAGGCAGGACAGGTAATATTGTTTGGAATACTCCCTTTTTATCCTTTAGGCCTAGGTGTGTTCCTCCCACTGGTTTTCTTTTCCCATCAGAGAACTTGCTGGCTTATACCAAGGACAGGATTCCATGAGATGTTTAACAGGATGTTCAGTTCTGTCTCTCTTTATCTGTCTCCCAGCTTACCTATCAGTTGTGATTAATCACTTGCCTGGTGTTCAATGAAAAAATAGATCACTGAGGATAAGTGATGGTGCTTTAGACCTCTAAGTCATGCTCTAACCCCACACTACTATTGCAACCATATTGATGGTTTGCTCCTATCCTGGTTTATTTTTACTGTTTATTTTTATATTTATTTAACTTTAGTGTCTAGGTGAGCCCAACTTTGTAAAGATTTTTGACATTGCTATCCATTGAGTCCTTCTGAGGGTCCAGTCAGAGATGGGAAAAGCAACATCTGAACTCCTCAATCTTTTTGTAACAAAATCTGAAAGTCCCTCATGGGATGAGTAACAGTCATTACTGCCAACTACTGGGTAAACCCACTAAATGCTCAGAGCTTATTTCAGACAGCAGGAGCATGATATCTTCTCAAAAAAATTTTCAGAAGACTCCACTGTGTTTTACCTATGAATAAGATAGATTCTAATTTGAATTTCATAAATCAGAAGTAGCTCTCTATCTTCCCTAAAAAAGAGAATTGATGCATCTCAATCTGAAGTTACAAGTTTCAGATAGGAATTATTTGGTGTAATTGTTTATCTTGTCATAGGCAGGACATCAGACTGGATGATCACTATGTTCACTTTTGGAATTAGACTAAATGGATTTCTGAATAAATAATTGATGAGCAGTAGAGAAGCTGTCGTCTGTGTGTCATCACTGTCGGACTGTATGATGCCCAAACTTTTCTTGGTGCTGTACAGATATAAAAACTACCATTGAAAGTGTGTGATGATTGATGCATAAGCTGCGAGCTGGAATGACCTTTTTCTTTTTTTCCTGTATCATCTCTCTTTCTTATTATATCCCATACAAAGCATTTGCCTGGCTTTGCCCTTAAAAAAGCCCCAAGAAACTACTTACATCTCCCTTTGAGTCAGAGTGGGTGTGTTGCATGCTATAGTGCCAGACTGCAACCAGTGCCCTCTACAGGTATATCTGGAGGATGATTCCAAAGCTGGGGAGACTGCCTACTCTGGTGAGGGAGTGAGAAGGGCTGGGAGAACCTGGACAGTGAAGCATAGTTAGCTAGGAGAGCTCAATTGAATCCTTTGCTAAACATTCATATCAGGAGTTAAAGAAGGTAACCTCATTCAAGCCCTGTCAGTTCATATGCTTGCTTGTTATTTATTAACTTCTCTGTGTATACAATAAGTTTTGAGCATCAAGATGTTAAAATTCAGAGTGTTAAAATATTTATGAGAACCAGACAAAGCTTGTGATATCCCATGACGTAGAAAGTCTCTGCCTGATATAAGTTAGCTAAACTACACGGAATGCCTTTGAGCTTGTGTAAACAATAAATAATTTATCTCTAAAAATTAATAATTCCTTGAATAATGCATGTACACCAGCTTGATTTATGATGCTAACATGTTATGATAATGTGAAATTAATTGGAAAGCCATTTATTTCCAATAATGTAATCACAATTTTCTTTATATTTGCATTTCCTCTGGAATTGTTTTAGTATATTCAGTATTTGTGGAGACCACTTTATTTTTTTCTTTCATTTTTTAATGTATGCCTTGGTAGCATTGAATGAATTAAAGGTTAGCACTTTGGTGTCATTGTACATTTTTTAAGTAGCATGAGGAGATAAGAATAATATCCATCTTTTGAAAATTCTTTGTGATTTAAAGTACAATGTATGATGTAATATACATATACATCATATAAAATGTATTTGTATGGGGAGTTGTATGTGTATTATAAATATGTTTATATACATTTAATATTTGCAGTTGTATATATCCATATAACCTCAGCCATGATGTTGCAGATCTGATCCAAAGCTCATTAATTGTGCAGCACAGTGATTTGTCCTCAGTGGAAGGAAATTAGAAAAGCATAGATTAAGTGAGAGATACCTTATTATTATCATCAGACTGTGAAACAGTCACTCATATCCACTTTTTTTCTAAGAGAAATCCCCTGGTTTATTGTATTGACTAAATCTAGGTTTTCTGCATTTGTCTCAATGTTTCAAATAGTATGAAGGTGGAAGGAAATGGAGATTTCAGGCTCAGTTTTTTAATCTATCTCATAGTGTTTTGGATTGATTCCTGGTTGTTTCAAATGACATGTTCCTTATGCTATTAAATTTATATGCTATTACAGGCTTTATTTATTAATTTATTTCAGCAAAGAATATGACATGCAAAAAGTCTTGTTAACAGCTGCCTACCAGCTAAGACATTGCGGAATAAGTGTCAATTCTCAGTATCTTTAATTCAAATATATAGTATACACATGTACTGGTAATATAATTAATTAAAAATGTTCTCAGAGAGTTCTGAGAATGATAATTTTGCATTTCTTGTATATGCATCAAGTCTCAAGTATGTTTCTTTGCCTTAACTTCCTTGCATTTATGGTGGTATATATCTTCTTTGCTGTTCTTCACAGTCTCAGGCTTTGAGACAGCAAGAGAATATTGAGACTTCACCTGTTTTGAGCTTCTTATCTTTCTGGTTCATAATATTGATTAGACTGTGTGAGACTATATGAGGGAAGTATGAGTGAGGCTGTGATTCTGTTCATTTCAGTCTTTATACTGACCCATGCACAAGGCAACAATGTGACTGATGGCAGGGACCATGGCAAACTCACGGTTAAGCACTGGGTAAAGCGCTGTTTAGGACAGATTAGGCTGTTGCAGTATGTCCACCTTTTAAGTCAGTTTTGAAAAAAATGTTCTCACAGTCTTTCTTGGTAGTATTTGAAATTGTCAGCAGATTAACTGGCTTTTCTATGTCTCTCTGTATGGCTGTTTTGTGCTGTTATTTCAACCTAAGTGTTATATGGGGAATTATACTTATGGATAACAGTGATATTCTCTAATTCATCACGCATTAGAACTATATCTGAGTAATACATGGGGGAAAGCAAGAGAAGCACAGCTTCTCCTAATGCTCACTTCTTTTGAAGGACAAGAGTTTGCAAATATTCCTAGATCAACCAGAAAACATAGAGCATCTGAGAAGATAGAAAGAGAGAAGTCTCAAAGAGGATCGATTGAATCTCAGGTGAGAGCAACGACAAAAACTGGATTTCTTGAATGTGCCATCATTGTACTGAACATAAATATATTCTCAGGTCTGCAGATCAGTACTGCTAGCACTTCTAGTGTATCCCTTGCATTTCTCTATGTTATGCTTTGCCACCTTTTTAGATTTAGACCTGTAAAAGGCTGAATTACAAAGGTTGAATGTAAAAGATGTGCATCCTGGATTTAGAGATGCAATGTGCTCATTTCTTTGTTTATGTATAAAGTGGTTGTTTCTTTTGTTGGTGTAGTTTCTGTCTCTGCTGAAGGTTTATTAAATTCCAAGAATTCAGCATATTTGCATCCCATTAGTCCCTCATTCTAGGGGCTTTTATGGCTTCCTAGGGAGATGAAATAGGTCTTTCCACTACAGTCAGTTCCTGTCTCATATATGACAATTGTCATTAGCTTGCAGATGAAGAGTGGCAGAAGAATTGGTATCTACTTGCTTAGCTGGAAATTCTTCTCATCTGTGGCGGGATAATCAGAGTGTTTTGTGGAGGACCAAAAGGCCTTTATGCCTTAAAAGGAATAATGTTATTGTTGCAAACAGATTAATGAAAGGCAGTGAAGAAACTGACAGCTCCTTGTGTAATGGTATTGCTTTTACTGGAAGTTTTGCTGCCTCATGGCAGGTAGTTCAAGGGGAGAACAGCTCCATAGAATTTTTCATGAAGAATACTGAATTTTTTTGTTGACTAAACCTGCAAACTTCCCTGTGACTCGTATCCACACCTAATTATACGGAGTTCTGGAATAGTGCCTTAGGCCTTCTTTCAGAGCAGTCTGAGTGGCTGCAGTTTAGCTTTCTGGCCACAGAAGGTCAATGAAGCTTCAGGCTGTGTCAGATTCCTTCCTTCAGCTCCATTGACTGGGTATACTAGGGATTCTGGTATCATGGTTCTTGGGAGTTCTTCAGTCCACCACTGAAACAGATAAAAGTTTCAAGATGGAGCTCTTGCAGATAAAGAAGATGCCCACCTTTAGTTTCAAAGAAGAGCTGAACTCCTAACTCAGCTTCTAAATCTTGGGCTTCAAGCTTTTTCAGATGATACAGTTTCCAGAAATATATGCAGCACAGTATCTTGTTCATTGGTCAGACAGCAGAATAGTCTCCTACACCTCAGGCACCACTTAGCCTTTGGTTCTGAAGAAGATATGTGTTAAGGTGCTTGAGAGAGTTTGGGAAGTGATTGGAAAAGAACCTTATAAGACTTAGCAAGGCTTATTTCTACACAAAAAACCTACTTAAATATAATATGGCTCCTAGTAAAAAAGCTTGTGGAAGGAAAGGAAAGTTGAGAGGAGGGGCGAGAAGTGGAGGGGAGGGGGAAGGGGAAAAGGAAGAGGAGAGGGTAGAGGAAACAGAAAGGAAAAGGAAAGGAAAAGAGAAGGGAAGGGAAAGAGAAAGGGAAAGGGAGTATGGAGGACGCTGTATGGGACTGGGGGAGAAATGTGTAAACAAAATATCTCAAAAAGCTTCCACACATTGCAAAGCAGTCTTCCTTTCCTTTGGCAGCCACTCTTTGTGTCATAATGCTTGCAAAATTACCAGGATACAAAAACATAACTTCATCCTACAAAGTGATAATAGATGTGTGCCAATGAATACATTGTATTGATGATACTTTCAGCAATCATTTTTGAGCAAACCACACTGGACTTTACGTGTAGTTAGTGAACAGAAAGAGGTGGACGTTCTGGAGATGAAGAAAGACACCCAGAAAGCAGATGAAATCAGAGCCATGAAACAAGCCTGGGAGTCTGCAGAGCCAGGAAGAGCTGCCAAGGTAATATCAGAGTGGTATTTTTGCAGTGGTATCTTCTTCACAAGTTCCAGGTGCTGTTGTGATGGTAGAACAGTTTCCAGAACAGAGACTTTCTCAGAGCTGTCCTCTTCACCACTCTATGGAAGACAGGAAATTTTACACAATTTAAAGAATTAAAAGTGATTGTGTGCATGAATTCTGGGCAGGAATCCAGATCATCTACTTCTGGCCTCTGTAGATTTTAGATTCTTCTTTACAAAACATAGAAAAGTTTCTCTTTAAAAAACCCACTACCTCTTCACAATTGCAAAGCTACTGCTTGTGACAGGTTTAATGTTTAATGTGAACAGATTCTGTTGAGAAATACACTGCTAGAAACATGCTAAAAATTATTTCTCTTGAAGAACTGGCACCTGTTCATGTCACCACTCAAACTGTCACCTGCAGCTAGGATTCCCAAATTCATTCCAAGTTGCAGGTTATCCATGAGCCTGTACATGTTCTGTATGAATTCACTAATTCAGTTGTCAGCTACAGCTGGGTACTTTTGATGTGACATATGCTTAAGATGGAAAAATAATACATGTTCTTTCTACTAAAGCATAAAGTTGCTCTGCTGATTCAGAATTGGAAGCATCATTGCCAAAGAAATAAAAAAAAAAAGAAAATAACAAAATGTAGTCTTTAAGCTATCACCACCACTACCACTGCCCATTCAGGGATACTCAGCCAGAACCCCCAGCTTAGAAGCATTTTGTCTTTTTTGCATTACCTTTCAGGAATGAACCTGAGACATGGATCTTCCCAGTTACACTTTCAGATTTTCTAATTTTTTTTCAGTGTATTCAAAGCTCAAAAATTTTTCTGACAGTACTCTATTAAGTTCTGGTCTAAGGGGAATTGCAGCTCTGCAGTGGTGATTAGTTGTACTGAGACTGAAAATGCAAGTACAACCTCCTAAAGATTAGCTGGAAATGAATCCCATTTGATGTGTAAAGAGTCTCATCAGAATACTGGTTCTATCACCATGTCCTTTTTTTATCAGAAAATCAACCGAATTGCAACTACAGGGTTCCATTTTGAAAGCCCCTTCAGTCTGTGACATATTTCTAAACCAGCTATCATTAAGAAAATTGGAGCAACCACATGGAATATGCTAAAAACAAGGTCTACAATGGGGTCTGCTATCCAGCATAAGTAGCTTTCCATCGCCTTTCTTCTTGATCACCCTGCCACAATGTCTGCCCATGCCAGACTCTGCGTATCGGGTGTCTGACTCCAGGGTGACCTTTGGCTTCTGTCCATTCTGGCAATCTCAGCCCTTGAGAAAACGCCCAGTGAGCCAAAGTCGCCTTCTGAAAAAACAGAAGTGCTGATGTCTGGTTTTGGCAGCAGAGGTAATTGAGTCTGAAAGAGTTTGCACCCCAAAGGTCCCATTTCTCAGGAGGAAGTCTAAATCACCATGCTATAGGAGCCCCTAAGAGAAAGTGGTATTTCCCTAAGGAGGTGCAGTAGCTGTACATTCAGCTATAAGGGAATAACAATTTTCAGTTTTAGAGGTTTTTGTTTGAATCCAAATATTATTTAAACTTCCCAGAGATCAGTAACTTTCCAGTATTTCACTGGACAATGATCTTAAGTGTAAGTATTCAGTGTCTCAGGACTGATTCACTGGGACCCTGGCATCCTTTCTGATTCCAGCCACAGGCAGAATTGCATACTGCACTCTGGTCTTGGGTCTTACTGACCACTTATAGAATCCTTCTTTTGAAAATTCTTTGGGATTTAAAGTATGCAGTAGAAGTTGTCTTATCTGGATTATAACTTTGATCTCTAGGCTTTTCAGGAACGTATGCGTTTTATTAATAAGTGTGCTGTGAGAGATTCAGAGGAGTCCAGAGCTGGGGCTGAGACCACCAGTGTAACGCCTAGTTCAGGAGAAAAAGGTAAGGGTATAACTTTCTGTGTCTTCAGTTCATCATGTTCAGCTCCTTAGGAAAGACCTCTACATTAAATACTAGTAATAAATGGATAAACCAGCCTTGATAAAGGTGTCCAAATGCATAATGGCACACTTACCCTCTATCTTCTCTATCTCCTCTTTGTTTGAATTGTTTCACTTCTTTATTTCCAGGCATACAGCCTCATGGCTCTTGGAGGCTGACAGATTACCATTAAGCAAGCTTCAGGTAGTCCTTTTGTAGTAGAATTCTAACCCTTAATTTACCAGAAATTTTTTGGAAGTTCAGTGGAAAATACTTACTCACTCAATTCCAAGTTGGGTACCAGAGTTCATTAGTGTAGAAATACTAAAAAAGTGTTTAGCAGCTGAAATAGTATGTCAGTAAGAGACTAATACATGTAATGTGCATTTTTTATGTTAATATTCATGGAAACTGTTCACAAGCAGTGTTCTGGAATGGAGGTGTTAAAAAGTGCGTACTGAGTAGCATCAGCTTCCTGGCAGCTTCCATAAGTGCTAATTTTATTTAGTAGTTACAACTTCTGTGGATTCTTCATATGTATTCCCTGCCAGTTACTAGACTGTAATGAGAAGGTGAACTGAGTGGAAGGCTGTAAGCTTTCTGCTGTTTTTTTCTTCTGTGAGTAATGCTGAGATCAGGCCATCACAAAAAGGAAAGAATAATACTCAGTCTGATTGTGACAGTATCTGGTCATGGCTCATGTGCATGGAATAGAACCTGTTACCAGTACATAAGATTAGTACTTTTCCATCCAGGTAAGTAATCTTCATGGGAAGGTTTTAGAACTTAAAGCAGGAGCACTCCTTACTTAATGCCTTAAACAAACACAATATTGATTATCTGAAAAAATATTATTTCCTCTAAGTTACTGGGTAAGTACTTCAAAATTACTTCAAAATTAATGGTTGTCTACCAAGAGCTTTGTTCTAAACTAAGCATTCAGAGTTTAATATAAAGTCTTATGAAGTAAAGAGTGACACTCCAGTGACTGTAAGTTGTTATGGTTCAATTGCATAGAGTGCAGCAATAGGCAATAATATGATGGAACATTTCTGTATCTTAATGAGAATTCTTATATTCTGGAGGATACTTTTCTGAAAGGCAGTGCCTAAGGAACTTCCAAAGATCCAAGTCACCCTTCAAGATCACCAGAGAAGGCTGGTATATTTGTCTCTGTAGTTTTTTTTAATGCTCAGAAACCTCTTTTGTATTTTTGATGAGAAAAATCCCAGGAATATTTTTAAAATGTTTCAACTGGTTACTGCTACAGGTAGACAAGAAGAGAGTTTTTATGAAAGAAAACTACTCCAGTCATCATTAAATCACATCAAATTTCACAGGCATTTTCAGCCCATGCAGAAAAATTAAAAGAATGAAGCATTTGAATAATCACAACGCAGCTCAGCCCAGTGCAGTACTTAATATCAGATATGTCAATAGAACATAGCACAGTTACTATCCATATGGTTAAAAAAATCCTAAGACTTCAGAATACAAATTTTAATGTCATGAGATCATTTTTTCTTTAGACTGGTATTTCCTGAACTAAATGTCTGCCCCAAAGGCAATACATATATTTTTTTTAAACTACAACCAGGACTGTGCAATCAGATTTTTATTGATTTTTTTTTTAAATTAAATAATATGATTCCTAGCTGATTATAAGTTGTTCTTATATTTTTTAGGCACTGCAAATTCAGTGTTCTTGCTTAGATTTACAAGCTTTCTTGAGTAAAGTGGATTTAGCTAAAATACGTATATTAGTGTAATTCTAGCATATGTGGCATATTTGATTCTATCATGAGTGTTGGAAATAAAAGTGCAGAAATGTTATATCCTTTCCAAACCATATTCTCATTTAATAGTGTATTTTGCTGAGGCAAAAGAAGAAAAATTTTCTTAAGAATTTAGATGGAGCTCCTAGCATAACCAAATAACCAGGTTAATCTGTTCTGGTTTGTATTTTCTTACCACAGGAATGAAAGCCCCACAAGCAGCTATTGACTCAAGATTACAAAGGCAGAAAAAAAAATGGGAGCTTGTAGACCTTAGTCCTTACCTGAGGTAAAGTGCCTTAACATAATAAATGTCAAAGGACCTGAATCACTGCACTGCATGTAATCAGTATGTGGCATAACCATTTGAAGAATGCACATGCAGGCAAATACGCTCATTCCAGTGTTCAGAAAGAAGCACATACGAAGTTTGTCAGGATATTATGCTAGTATAAAATACTATATTTAACAGATGCAGTTCAGTTAATAATAATAATAGTTAACAGCTGAAATAACTATATGAATTGTATTTCCTGTTCAAAAGAACTGTATTGTTTATTACAAGTGTTGACATGAACTTATCGAGCTAATTTACTTGCACCTGCATATTTGCTGTGCTGCAGCTAGAACCCACTTCATGCTTAAGTCCATTTGTATTCAATGTGACATTTCTACATCTCACTGATTTTCAAAAGACCTTAGAACATGCTGAAATAATTGCCCAAATTTAATTTTAAATTGAAAGGGAAACTGGTGTTATATCGAAGTGAATAACCTTGTAACAGTAGAAAATATAGCAAAATATCTTCCACAGGCTTGAATCTTTTAAACATTTTATTTGTCTTCTAGTCTTTGACTTTTACACTAGTCATTTAAGTCAAAATGTGAAAAATATATTGTCCACTTAGCTGCCATTATGCAAAAAGCAAAAAAAAAAAAAATTACATTTGTCTCAATGTAGAATTATAATATCAAAAACTTCTGGAAATATATTTCTTGCAAAATAAGGGTGCCACATGTAGGAGTTTTTCATATGCCCAAAGATGAGCAGTTTTTTACAAATATTTTTAAAAATAGACAAGTATAAGAAGAACTGGCCTGAATGTTGTATGTAAGCAGAGTAAAAGTGACTCCTTAACCATATCTAACCATACGATGGTGACATTGCCAAATATAAGCCAAACATATGCGTGTAGGTTTTAAACAAAATGTACAAGACCCAAAGTTGTATTGGAAATGAGACAAATATCTTTGTATTTCCTTCAGAAAAACAAGGTCTGAATCTGTGCTGAGAAATGAGTCTATCATTCAAGAGCAGCAGATACGTAAAGAGGAAAAAGTTAACCATTTTAGGGAACTTCAAAAGCTGGTTTTGGAGCAAAGAGAAAAAGAAGAAAATGACAGAGCTTTATTGAAGCAAAATATACTTGAAATGTATGAGAATCTGCAGGTAGGTTGTCAAGATTACTTTCCAGTAACTATTACTGTGATGTCCACCACTAGGCTGAATATCTTAATCAACCATTATTAAAACTTTTATATTCAGTACCAGTAGTAAGAAGCAATGAACAAGCTTGAAATTTTGCTTGGGCAAAGGTTAAAACTAAAAGTTCTAAAGGAAAAAAAAATAGTACTGTGCAACCTCCTTAATATGATGTTCTTAGTACTTTCTTGATACAGCTCTCTGAAAAAGTACTATTTTAAGAATATCACCATAAAAGTATGATTATATTGAGCATTTGACATACATGACCAGGTGCATATGAGGTAAAGCACCTCTGATTTTACTGGTTTTTTTGGTTATAGAATTGTATAGGCTTTTTGGAAAGTAATTTTTTAAAAAAATTATCTATGGGGGCGAGTTGCTCTTAATATGTCTTACAGCAAAGTTAGAGAACATAGTTTTCTTGGAATATGCATGATGCCAGCAAATGAAGAATTTGAATTACTATTCCTTAAAAAAAGATGTATATAAAAATAAAATTGATGGCATTAGGGTAGAATCCATTGTGAGGATTAATGCAGCCAATGCATTGCACATGAAATTGATACAAATATCTTACCAAATTGACTTAACTGTGGAGCATCAACAGGAACAAAATTATTTGTTACACAGTGGGAATACAATAACCACTATCAACTAACTGGTGACTATTCAGAGCTCTTAAGGCTGGATAAGAGACAGTAAAAATAATTTTACATCAAATCAACCTACTTACAGAAACCACTTGAAAATATATTCTTTTTAAGTTCCCAGTCAGCCTGATTTATATTACACAGCTACAGGTCTGCAAGGAGCCACAGTTCTCTAGCAGTGACTGATCCTAATAAGAATACATGTCCAGGTTTTCATATGTTGCTATGATTTTGGATTCCTAACATACTATATATTAGAAGGGAATTTTTTTTCCTGGAGTAGTTCCTCAACTCTTTCTAGAAAGTATTTCCATTAAAAATATTTCACAGTATGAATTTAAAATGAGAGTTACTTGTGAATATGCACACTGTGCTGATAAGCACTTTTGCAGTTTTTTCATCTGTAGACCACAGAGAACTATATAAAGGTATTCAGGAATCCCCATTTTCCAGGATGGAAATGGAGAGGAAAAAGTATTCAGAGGTGTTCAAGTCCCATTTGCCCTAAGTCTCTTTGAAGGTCAATGTGATTCAGGCTCCTTTAGTCTCTTAAAAGGCTAGAACTTCTAACCCATTTCAGCATTTCTGAAAACTATTTTTTAATGAACTTGTTTAAGACAGCAAAGCAAATCAGTACTAGTCTGTTGCTCTATCATCCCTTCACATGTTTATCTTATTATGCTAGCAATTTAAAAAGGATTTTTGTGAAGTTTCTCTTCTTCTTCATGGTGAAAAGATTGACATATAGCTGTTTCGTATGAGAAATAATAAAAATCCAAGTAAAAAGAAAAGGAGAACTCCTCTCCCTCTACTTACAGAGTCACAGAGTGAAAGAGACCAGGAAGGATGCAGTTGCTTGTGATTGAATCAAAATTCATGTGTTAAGAGGGGTGGTATTGTTGTTTGGTTTTGCCTAGGCATCCTTAGATGAAACACGAGTCAGAGTTCACAGCATTCGGGAAGCATACAGAAATAATCTGCTAGAGGCTGAGCTCAGAAAACAAGAAGAACTGGCAGCTCAGGAAGCAGCCTTGAAAGCAGAGAAAAAGAAGAAAAGCACAGACAAAGCCAAGCCCGGTAAAGGTTTGGGGAAAAAAAAGTAGTTGCTATCATTAGTGAATTGCATTTAACAGCATGGGAAAGAAAGTTGATATGCAAAGATGAGAAAGAATGTTTGTTACTTTGCGGTATTTTTGGCAACTGTATCACATTTTATCTTTTTGTCTGTTGCTAGTGAAAAAAATGATCTGGTATTCTTTTTAACAAAATGTTTGTTATTTTGCTTTCCATAAAGCTACTCACTACTATTAAAGTTTGTGTGTTTTACTAGAATAACTTTTGCAATAAAATTTGTATTCCATTCAGACTCTTCTCCCAAAATCAAGTGTCTTTTGCCTTTTTTTTTTCCCAATCGAAACAGAATCAGTAAAGAATGAATCAGAGTTGAAACAGTGAACGTAACCTGTCAGTTTTGAAAGTCATTTGATGTGGCTGCCTAAGTGGATGACGATTTGTGGAGTGCCTCATAATTAAATAGTGTCATACCATACTTTTGGGAGGCTTCCCAAAACCTGGTCCACTAGGCACTCACAAGCTTTCTGTAATATCCCTTCCATCATTCTCTTAAGTGTTTTTGAATCTCACAGTAACTCTCTGTAGTAACAAACTCTTGGCACAACCTTCCAAGGCTTCTTAAATGCTTCTAAAAACCTTACTACTTACTTTGTTTATCTTTCCTAAGCTATATTTTGCCCATTGTGGCTTTGCTCAAAGTGACTAATTATGATAAGACTCTCAGCTGGAATTTAAAAATGTTTCTTAAAAATAGAACCAGTGTGTGAACGAAGTGGCAATCACAGGCTTTTTACACATAGGGTGAAGTATTTCCTCTAAGGTCTTGCTTCCATTGGCATAGAATTTCTGTAGTTGCGATTTTGTCATCAAACACAAAAAAATACATGCATTCATACTCACAAGCTATCATTCTGTACTCAGAGACAATGGTCAAAACTCTTATAATGGTAAAAACACTCTCTAGACCAGACAGAGCTGTTTTAAATGTCTTAAGGAATTTTCTGTATATGTAGTCACAAGCAAACCTTGGCAAGTTAGACCGAGTACATATTGTATGCATACAATAAGTCCAGGATGTCTGAAAGCACTTCAGGTGAGAAACCATGAGATTCTCCTATTTAATACAAATCAAAAAGAAATTTTATCCTTTGCATTCTGGTCACTGGTACTGGCTAGCCATTGCATTTGAAACTAGCCTTTCTTCTGTGTCTTAATGACATACCAGATGTTCAGTTTCTGCTGGCTTTGCTCACCTCTGTTTTATGAGCACCTCACTATGTGGCTTGTACTTAATTCACTCCTCTAATCAGTTCTGTGGTGTCTGTGCTTAGTACATGATCACACCTACACACCTGCTGTGATACCAATGCCTCTATTTGGCCTCCTGCTTCCCATACATCATAAACTAAACTGACTTGAGTTCTCATGTTTGAAAGGGAAGAATTGAAACCAGAGTCCTAAAACTGCACCGATGATTTTTATTGCAAGGAGCAGGAGCTAAGTTTTGCTTTAACCCATACAGGCTGCAAATAAAAAGCCTGTCAGTTTTTTGCTATAATTTCCTCTTTGTCCTCTATATTTTGGAATATGGGATATACTGCTTCATAATATTCCATCTTGTTTCCATGGCAATAGCACGTGTTGGTTGTCTTCTCATGTGAATCTCTAACGAGCTTCTGTAGAGGAAGATCAAGCTGAAGTTCTGTTCTTTATGTCACTGCAAGTGGTATAATGACATTCTGTTATAAAAATTAATCCAGTTCCAAAAGCCAGCATTATCGACATCTAAATGTCAAAAATTCATCTAATAACCTGCATGATCACAACCCATCACCACATGTAATCAGCTACCAGCTGACTTAAACTCAGACACAGTGTACTCTGACCTACATTATCAAATCTTGTTCTGATGTTAAACACAATTCTAAGTTTCATGATTTTCTCGTTTTGAAGAGTAATGTGCCATCGTCAAAATCTGCTGTGTGGTTTGCAAATGCCTCTTTTGGCTCGTTTATCATTTCAACAACACAGATACGATGAGGGAGTGAATTACTGTCACACTGTTTAATTGCATGTACTTTGGAGTATGTAATGTTTTAGGAGAAGCACAGTAACAGTTCTACTAAATCCCTGTGCATATTCCAGAAGAACAAAATATTCACTTACCTCATAATGGAGCCCAAGAGAGAAAAGGCCTTGTTTGGATTGTGACAAAGAATTTGCATACATAGGACCCAGAAACAGATGACTGATGAAATTTCCTATGTATCTGTTTTACACCAACACAACAGCTTTTTACATGTGCAGTATATTACAGGCAAAGTTAAAGATGGGTAAAGATGTACAAAAACTGAAGCAAAATGTAGCTGTATTTCAAAACAGCCATTTGCAGTAATTTAAGGAGCCATCATGTTTAGCACTTTAAGAAAAATAAGAAAAACTAGACGTTGTATTGTAATTGATAGGATTGTTGCCTCCAGTTTGTAGACCAAGTTGCCCAGCAGACAAATTAAGTGTTTGCATGGATAAAAGATGTTTATTTTTTTACCCTCTAGGAGTGCATCAGATTTTAAGCATCATCATTTTATAAAACCTAACCAGCCTTTATATCAAAGAAATTTACTATAATAAAAGCTCTGAAATTTGGATAGTCATGAGTCCTGCTTACATACAAGGCCACATTCAGTAGGGGCATGAGGACAAGCTTTAAATTATGTGTTTTCTTACTTAGTGAAGAATTGCAGCAAAGGACTCAAACATGGGAGTCAAGCACTTTACAGAACGTAATAATCAGGGAAAGCTTTTCTAAATCTAGACATTATTGCTCTGTCTTTTAAGATAACAGTTGTTTTGGAGGTAAAATGGTTGCATCACAGCATACTATACCAGGTATCTGGTGACATCACATCACAGAAGAGATGGCTTGGGGGAGCAGGAGCAGGGTTTGAGCAGTTGCCTTCTAACATTTCTTGTAGAAAATCATCTCTAAGAATAATTGCACAATTTTTCACTTACACAGCCTCTCATTTTTGTTCATGGAAGAACTCTGTGTATGAAAAACAGTACATATAACTATGTTGATCTCCAAATGTTGCAGTTCAGTTGTCTTGTGACTTAGAGAGTTGCATACTTCTCCCCTAAAATTCCAAGTCTGACTTCTGAAGAAGAGCATAGTAGGAACCATTTCTTTACACAAACAAAAAGAGTGGGGTATCCCAAAAATTCAGAAATCCTGAACTGTCTCTGACAGAAGATTGTGTGCTTCTTATAGAGCCAGTCTCCAATATTATGCTAAGATTTTCTTTTTGTTTGTGTGATCCCCCCACATCTTAAGTACTTCCAACTTTTGAACCCAATACAAAGCTCATTCCAATCTCTGCATTTATAACACTATTGAACACTCTGTTAGTATCTAGTCATTGCTGAGTATTTGAACAAAAAGAAGCAGTTTCAGGAATCAGCACAGTGGACCAGCTGTGCATTTTTGAGAAACCTTGTGAACTCAGAGTTTAGGGCAAGACTGTACACTTTTTACCATAATTATACTTAGTGATTGGCTGGAATTTTGAATATTGATTTAGAGATTATTTAAGATTGAGTTGCATTTTTTGTAGTGGTAAAACAAAACGGGTATGTTTATTGTACTCTTTCCTGATACTCATTTCTCTTTCAATTGAAATATAGCCAATTATACAAAAGAAAATGCCACTATTCAGTAGAAATTTATAAAAGTTTAGATGGAAACCGCAAATGCCACAGGAGAATTAAAACATGTTAGATTGTATTGTGACTAAATCCCTAAAGAATCTCTCAGAGTTCAGTTTTTTACTTCTACATTTTAGGAAAAATTGTGGAGTCACAGTATGACACAGGTACCTGAGAAGGAAAATAAGTCTTTGACCTGGTAATTCAGTTTAATGGGGATTAACTCTGTAAAGAGTTAATCACTTGTAATAGTTCTTTGTAGGTGTGTTCTGCTAAGCTTTAGCGGTTCTCACTGCTTGATCAAATGCTTGATCCTTTTCTTTTGACCAGCTATTCTGAATTAGAAAAGATCTCTTTCATTAAAATACATATCTACAGTTACTTTTTAATGCAAGTAGCTTCATTAATCTTCAAATTACTTGTCCCATCTGCTTTGCTTTAATTTGGCTGGCATTTACATAATGAGTTACAGACCAAAAACCAGACCAAGCCTGTTCCAGGTTGCCTCACTGCTGAGACAAGCAATGTGCTGTGAAACCAGGCTTGGTTCTGAGCTGCCAGTCTGCTCACCCCGGCAATGTGCAATTTAGCTGCTCTGTGAGGCCTCATTTTAATTCAAGGAAGAGACAGTATTTATGCACATGCACAGCATTTCCCCTCCAAAAGGCAAGAAAAGTGTCTACATATTTTGTCTGGCAAAAAAGCATAAGAGAACAGCTTTGCATAATCATATGGCATTTTGCAGAATAAAGAAATCTCACTCACAGACCCCTTTTTTCCTCTCATTGATTTCTGGAATCAGTCCTAATAGATTCACAGTCCAGGTAATGTTTCAATGATTTAAATATTCTTGTTTGCAGAAAAAGAAGATATTGTCCTCCATCTCAAAGGAGGACAAAGACAGGAAAGAAGTAGAAAACCAGGGGAGGAGAGAAAATAATTTTTATCATATGAAATGAGACAATAGCACAAAAGGAAGATGCAGTGAAGATGTCACTAGCCAAAATAAGAGAAAATATTAGGGGCAGTGGTCAGGTAGGACTCAGGACCTTTGATAACTGTGGCAATAAGAAAGTGGTTAGGGACAGCAGTTCATGGACTGGCAGGCTCTTTTGGGAATGAAGTAACGTACAGACCCAAGTGTAGCCAGATCATGTCCCTTCAGGCTGTATCTGTATGCACACACTTCTATGAAACCTGAGCTCCTCTGCCCAACATGTGGCTTTCTCCCTAAAGGCAAGCACCAAAATGCTCACTCTTCCATGGGCACATGAAAGGTGTTTACCTGCACATGGTAGCCAACTGAGTGCAGTAAAATCCATGGAATGCAATACCCAGGCTTCTCTTCCCTCAGCCTGGGAAAGCTGGATTCCATAGGTGTGTGTCCACAGACAGGACATCTCAGGTATCTTTCCCAGATACCATGCAATGCTCACAAGACCAAGACCAAGTATAGGGCAAGAGAGATCCTGAATTTGTGTACAAGCCAACTCATTGCAAAGCTGGAACATACAAGGAGGGATACAGCAGCTGCATG